GTGATTTTCGTCGCCAAGGATGTCTCTGCCAATCTGCGTCAACTGCTCCACAGTCCAATCTCTTTTGGTCTCGCCATTGAAGTCCAATCTGGTCATGGTGAGCCGCAAGAGTGTCTGTACTTGCCTAGTCAAGGAAGCGAGGAAGCGGTCGGCAACACGAGCATCGTTTTTGGGGAGGCCGGCATCATACACAGTCTGAAGGAACTTCTTGGAGTAATCTCCAATCGACTCAGAAGGAAGCATTACCATGGTAAATACCTCTTTTACCAAACGGGATGTCACCAAGCGCGATCCATGTCTTGCTGTAAAGCAGATCTTGGCCGCGTTCCAATCTACACACTTCTTCAAATCCATCTCTACCCATCCATCATCACTATGAGGCAAGCAGAGCAGCAAAAATCTCTTCCAAACTAGTTCAATGTCCTGAAGGGACGACTCAATAACCTTTTGGAAGGTGCGAAGGAAGTGGTCTACTGAGTGAAAGACCTCTTCATTCAGGAAGGATCTAATCACATCGTCTGCCAACTGGAACTTAGGAAGATCTCTTCTATTAAGAGTCAACCCTCCAGTGCGACTGCTCTTCTCTACAACTTTCACAGAAGGCAAAAGGTACTGACTGCATGCTATTTCTATATCTATCATTTCTTTGACGCGTCTGACCTTATTAAGGGCTAATTCAGCTGCTTGCTCATCATTCATAGCATGAGCAGCACTGACAGCCTCTACATGCTGTTGAAGTTCTAGTCTAAGTTTCTCTGACAAAGACAAGACTGTTGTAGCAGCATTCGCTACCAAGGGACGAAGGGGAGAGGGAGCGACAAATTGTCCAGGGGTGGAGCTGGCAAAGGAGATGTTGTCACTCAGACTGGCGATGAGGTCCTCCTCAGTCATGACGGACATGGCATCCTCATCATGAGCAGGGATGATGGTGGCGGGGTAGTTCTCAGCAGAGGGGTTCATGGTAGTTCACAAAAAAAAATGTTGTGGTGGTTGAAGTTGAAGAAGTTTTTAAGAGGAAGAATTGAAGATTTGAAATTAGGAATGAAGATTCGTGAGAACTTGTGTAGGTTTTGTTTATTGAGAAAGATTTTGTATCAAAGTTTGATGAGGTTCCTACACTGAACTACTACTGCTATTTATATTGTTTTGGATTGGGAAAATTATATGACTGGGGTCAGATAATCGATCCTATCTAAGCCTTAATCAGAGCAACGTGATCTTGGGATAATTAATGTATGATTAATTATATAAATGTGTGTAGTCCCAATGAAGTATTAACATCGAAAGTAAATGTGTTTATGAGTTATAATTATGCTTATAATAATCCACTGATGTATCCCATATTATGGTGATATCATCATATGAAATATAATCACTATCATGCATGCTAAACCTGTGTGTTAAATAATAAAGTAATTGGTAGACACCTTTGACTGGAATAGCTGAGGCCTTATATTATTTCCTTCAGACTTATTCTCAATTACAGCAGTAGTCAATACTCATTTACAACAGTAGTAAATAAGCTATATTTACTACTAATTAAAGAGAATGTTTTTGAGTCTGAATTGCAAACGTTTGCAAATTTTTATTTTATATGGCAAATTAAATTCCAGTATTTGTTTTTCAAATTTCATGATGGAAGCCATTTAGTGAGCATTTGAAGCCAACAGTTAGGGATTCTCTGATTTTTTTATTTCAAATGCTCATTAAATTTCTAGTAAAAATTATGCTTTTTTTTCTCACTTCAAAATAAAATGTATGATAGCCAGTAGTCTCTTCTTCATACTTAATAAAATAAGCCTTGGAAAGTCAAGTTTATTAAGGTTTATTTCCTTTAAATTTCTTAGTATCAATGTTTTCAACTTATAATATTCATAACTGTGTCTGAGCTTTATTCTTATTTTTGATTGTACTTTACAAATAATTATTTTTTAGTCATTTTGAAATTATCATAACTGTTATATTTGCAGAATCTGGGATATAAACTATCTGACTTAGAAATCTGTGACTCAAGTCAAAGTAGTAATCTGAAACAACACTGACAATAAGTAGTTGTTATCCAAGAGCCAATACACTTCCTTAAACTATTGCGGACAATATAACATGAAAATATTTTCTCAAAAAACAGTAACAACAGGAACGAATATCAAGGAACAAAAGATAAATTTTTCTAAGGGAAAAAGATATAAAAGAGATAGAAAACATCAAGCTAGAAATATTATCTTTCAACAGATACAACAATTTCTCAATAAACTACCATACAAAAGTCTCACTTTATTCATCGTCTCCATATCATCTCATATCTCTTCAATCTCAAGTTTATTATAATCAATTCAAAATACTTCAATAACTCAACACCCTCTCTTTTATAGTATTATTATTACTAATTTACTGAATAGTAGAGTAGCATATTTAATTTATTTAGCTTCAAATAGATTGATAGTAAAAGTATAGTAGTAAATCTATATATAAAAGAATTAATAATAAATTTAGTGAATTAAATAATAAACTAAAGAAATCTTTACTAGATATAGAACATATTACTGTGATCATCTTTTATTTATATAGCAAAAAATATAAAAACTTTTTATAATAATATTATTATCCTTTAATTCTATTTGCCAATTATCACAAAACAGAAAAGGGAGAGAGTAAAAATTATGTTCTATGTCTAATGATGATTTCTCTGATCTATTATTTAATTTACAGTCAAAATAAATTTCTTTGGTAAATTTAATGAGACTGTCAAAACTTTCACTAGATATAAAGCATATTGCTACTTCAGAGTATCCAATTTTTTGGAATATCATTATTGTGGAAAGAAAGAAAAAAGTAGGAAATGTGGACAAAAGAATTTGTGAGAACTTATATATGTTGTTTATTTCAAAAAAAGTAAAGAATAATAATATCTGATTGTTTTTCTATATAAAACTATCTACTTATATTTATATGTTTTTTTAATTTGTAATTCAATGTGTATGTTGTGAGAAGAAAATAAAGTAAAATACTATATAGATGAAAGAATTCGTGAGAACTTGTGTAGATTGTTTATTTTAAAAGAAAAGTAAAGAATAATAAAATTCAATTGTTTTTCTATATAAAACTACCTACTAATATTTATATGTTTTTCTAATTTATAATTCAGTGTGTGCTTAAGTAATCTTTATCACAACGAGCCATCTTCCGGAAGTATTGTTTTCTGGAAAGATCTGGAGAGACTAATTGATATAATACTTCTCTAGTCAGATCAGTTCAAGAGTTTTAGTAAAGAAGAACATTTATGCTATTGGTAATACTTTAGTATTCCAACCCAAATACTTGGGTAATGTTTTATAATATTAAATAGTTGTAGTTGTAGTCTCTCAATTAAGTATTTGTATAATAAAAGAAATATGTAAATGAAATATAATGATGTCATATATACTATGGAAAAAAAGATAGTTAGACTGGTGGTTAGACTGGTGGTTTGACTGGTGATTTGACTGATGTTTTGACTAGTAGTTTGACTGGTGGTTTTTTGCAAGTTTTCCATTCAAACCACCATTGAGTTTAAACAAAAATAAATGACTTTCTGCACTCTGTTCTTTAATATGTTGTTTGTATAATATAGCAATATTCTTTTCTTAGTATTGACTTTTCTGTTGAATGTGTTTTCTTTTATTTATTATATAAAGCTTACACATCATTAGATACTTTTATTTGGTACTCTCTTATAGAACAATTATTGTTTTAAAATGTAGCACTACAGTAGAGAAAATGGTAACATGTTACCACTTTGGTAACATAACTGCCATTTTTTATTAAGTAAAAAATGGCAGTTATGACTCTGTATAAGGCCAAAACAGGCACTGTTACCATTTTTTACTATGTAAAAAATGGCAGTTATTTATTATGTAAAAAGCCAAAACAAGCACTGTTATCATTTTTTTCATAATAAAAAATGACAGTTATTTATTATGTAAAACGCCAAAACAGACACTGTTACCATTTTTTCAAAAAAAAATCAAGCATCCTTCCTTTCCTCTATTACATTCTTTCTTTTGTTCTATTGCTTTCAATTCTAGCACAACCTCTTGTTTTTCCTTTGCAGCTTTAACAGAATGGTCTGTTTTTTATTATACAGTATTGAATTGAGTTTAATTGAATTGAATTTTTATTTCAATACATGGTTTTTTTAAATGAAAATAATAATAATAATAGTAATAATGAAAAAACAATTCCATTGGTCACTTGCAATAAAAAATGGTTCTGTTTAGCTACTGCAAAACATATACAGTAAAACACTACTATTCAAATTTTATTTCATATACTTTGGGTATTCTAATATATCTTAGATAGCACTTATTATTTTTTACTGATTTCTACAAATATACTAATATTAGAGAAAAAACTTAAAATAAATAAATAGATATAATATTATTATAATGCTTATCTTTATATAATATGCTTACTTGTTTAGTAAAATAAGCATTTACTCTAAGAATATATATATTAAAGAATGTATTAATATTTAAGATCTATATATAAGAAAAGCAATAAAACATAAGCACTATAGAAAGTCGTTATTGTAGAAGAAGAAAAACTTGAGCAAAGATTCAAGTCATGTAACATGAAGCTAATTTGAATCTGATTCATACAACTGGAATGAGCATCTTTTTAGAAAACTCAAAGTGTTTATTCTACTCAATATACTTACATATAATAGAATGACTCCCGAGTATAATATATCAGTACAAAAATATTACTATTAATTTTTTTCTCAAAAAAAAGACTATATACTATTTCCTTTTATATTTGAATGTAGTGGAATTGTAAATGCTGTACATTAGCTTCAAATTCTTGTAATCACAACATTAGCAATCATATAAAAGAGGTCAATAAATTTTTTATATGAAAGAAAAAAGGAATAAAAAACATAAAAAGAAAAATGACAAGATAAGAAAAAAAATGCACTAAAGACAAACTAAAAAAATCAAACTCGGCCAATCACAGCAGCCAAACTATGATCTTTGGCTTCTCTTGTGAGCAGGCTCGACACTTGCTGTAGGTGGAGGAGACCTACATAAAAGAGTAAGAAGTTTATATTAGTTTTGTATTAACAGTGCATGAGAAAAAGCAACAATGGTAACTTACAGCACATCTGCCATTATGGGCGACTCAACATCACCAGTTTCTGACATATCAGGAGAAGAAAGCGAAGAATCACTTATGTCTTGCTGTGTCTATAGCATAATAAAAGGAAACGATGTTAATTAAAGTTTACAATATATAGATTTGTTAATTGATAAACTTACTTTGTTCTTCTCTGCCATTCTTCTCTTGTGCATCTGGTTGTCGCTCTTGAAGCTTTCCCAAAGAAGGCTTCTTGCACACCACATTCTTTTACATTAGTAGATGTGCAATCCACCATTCTTTGCCAACCTCTCCAAATGCATCATGTAGTATTCCCTGTTTTTCTCTGGGATATTCTTCTATTCTTTTGAGGCCGCAGGATAGTCTTTGTCAATGATATCATGCTTTACCATACGGCCTAATGTTTTGAGATGCAGTCTTTTTACTGTCAAATCATGATCTGAAAGAGGGACTAATGGGGGCAAAGACTGCCCTTGTGAAACTTCTTTGCAACGTGCCTTCCAGTCCTGCTCGTGAAGAATCTGAAGCAACAGATTGTATTTTTGTTCTTCGTTTTTCCTTTGAACTTGCCGCCAGTATTGATTACTTGCTTACCAAGCTGATCAGGGTATTCTGTGAGCTGGGCTCTTTTCACAGACTTGGCAATGCGCTCAAGAGCTACAAAAAATGTATGACAATATTAATAAAGTAAATAAACATCTAAGCACAGAATATATATGACTTACAACTCTGCTCAATAATGCTTTGTTGCATTGTAGTTAGATCTTCTGCACTGACTGCTGGCGCAAATTGATTGCTGAATTGCCTTTGAATCTCGCGCAATGCTTGCTTGATTTCAGCAAGATCAACCTCAATATTTTGAATTGAGTTGAGGAGAGTTGTGTTAATATCAGACATGTTTAAGTTTTTTTTAGCTATAAGCAGTGAGTTGAAAAGAAAAGGTGATAGTTTAGACAGGTAGAATAAGAGCAATTTGAGTTTGAGAAAGGCAATGATTTATTACAAGCAATTGATAACTATTTATATGAAAAAGATACAGACAGATGTACAAACAAAACATATAAAAGAAGGGATGCTTATGCACTTGTATGCACCTATCTGCACCTGTCTGCAGTAGCTTATGTGAACATGATACAGTCTTTTTGTGTCAACACAACAAAACTGTAAGAAATATAAAGATAAAATGAATTAGACTTTAAATCAATATTATATGTATAAATGTTCATACTTTGCACCGTCTACATATTAAACGTTTTAAAGTATATGATATAATAATATAACTTTATACATATTGCAGATATAGCATGAAATTTGGTTAAAGTTCTCAATGACAAAACCCTGTACCAGTTAAAATTATAACTTTAAATATACTCTACAGTAGCTATATAACATCTGAACATCATATAGTTAATTAGCCTCTTTTTATCAACAGTAAAGTAAATGTTATGATACTCAAGTCCATATCATACTTATTATCATTATTGACTAAAACGCGTTTTGATTGATGCTGTCATCAAAGATAAAAGCAATTTTAACTGGCATTACTATTATTTACCAAGGGGCATTTTTGACTAAAACCGTACATTTTTGAAAAAGGTGTGCTTTAACTCACATTGGCACTTTCAATTAACACCCCTTTCGATCAGTAGTGTTTATCTTGATGATGTCAGTAAAAGAGTATCAAACTATAGCTCTCATTATCTATATCTATTTCTTTAAGTTTTATACATAAATAAGAAAATAATGCTATTAGCTAAATATATATTCACTATCTCAAAAATACTATTAGTACAACGCAGATAATATAAATATATCTTTTCTACCAATGTGTTTAGACAGTACTACTTTTTTTTAACTGTTAATTATTAGAAGACTGTTTTTCTTTGCCTTTGATATTAGAGAGTAATTGATAATTTATTTAAAAAAAACATAAATTATTTGGTCGTTAATTATCCTAAATATACATATACCTCTTTATAAAGCCCAAAGAATATCTAATTGCTCACAAGTAAAGAGTACGTGTCTGTTTCACTGGTGCTCTTTTAATGGTACCCCCTTGTCAACCAAGAAGTATTTTAACTTACATCATAATTATTAATGAAGAAGAATCTTTCCAACCATGGGAATTATTTACTGACAGGTGTTTCACCTAGCATTAACATTACTGTAATCATTGCTATATCATCATTATGAGAGAGAAAAAGAAAAAGAGCCGCAAGCATTTTGGTTAAAAAATAAAGAGTATATAAAGATGTCTTTTACATTTAATGAATAGCACCAAAATCCTCTTCGCAGTTTTATTTTATATATTACATACGTACCAACCCAACCAATATGTCTTCTTCCAATGCCAGCCAGCAGAGAGATAGAATATTTACACAGCAATACCAATGTAATCAATGTGTCTTGTTTTTTGATAACTACCAGAAGCTGCAAAACCACAAGAGAATTCACAGAGGAGATTCAGCAACAATGACTGAAATTGACCAGTCTATTCTGGATGATGTTGACATGTACCATGACGAAAATGATACTAGTAATGAAGATGAATCTGTTAGCAATTCAGGTAATGAAAAGAGCTGTAATTGTATTATTTATTTTCCAATTACTAAATAATGTATTACAGAATATACTATGGAGTCTATGAAGCTTAATAATACTATTTCATATAAGTGTGCATGTAATTTTGAGGACAGTGAGAGTAAAGCTCACATTTACGATAACAGCCAAATCAGTACAAATACTTTTACAAAGGCTGAGTTTATGAGTATTCATCTGTTTCAATTGATGCTACAGCATAGAATTGCTAGAGCAGCATATAGAGACATTGTTCAATTTATAAACACTGTCATCCAAGACCATGACAATATAATGATGGATAAAATATTATATTTTCTGTTACCTTGTACTTTAATTCCAGATCACTAACATATAGTGATATTGTTTTTTTTTAGAACCTGGGGCTAAGATCAGTCATGGTGAAACTGTTGATGTTTTGCTCAAGTCAAATTCAAGTGTCAAGGGCCATAAGTATGATGTCTGCTCTAGTGGTTGTTGATTGTATAGCATTAATGACAATCAGGAATCTTGTGTTAACTGCGGCAAACCACAATACAAGACTGATCCCAATCAAAGTCAGACACCAGCCGCCAGTATGAAACTTATGTCAGTAGGAATATACTTTCTCAAATGTTGGCAGATCCAGCCACAAGAGAACTCCTCTGTTACAGAGCAAACTGGGAATCTGTAGCTGGTCAGCTAACCGACATTTTTGATAGTAACAATTACAAGCAGTTGGTGCAGCAGAGCCTGTTCTCCAATCCCAATGATATTGCCATTGGGCTTTATACCAATCGGTTTGTCAATCAAAAGAAAGGCAAAAACTCATATACCATCATCCATTGCATAATATTCAACCTAGACCCATCCATCAGGTAATTAATTAATTTATTACTATTTATTATTATTATTACATTTTTTTAAAAAAAAAGTTACTAATAAAATACTTAGATATACCAACAAATACCTTTTGCAATTGGCAATCTTGTCTGGCCCCAAGAAGCCAACTCATTTGGACTCCTTTCTTATACTCATCATCAATGAATTACGAGATCTTGAGGCACATGGCTTGGTTGTCAAGCACAATGGAGTGGAGCTTTGCAGATCCAAGGTCTATCTACTGCTTGCTTCTGGCAATATTCCAGCTGTAGCTGATATGGCCCACATTGGTTCCCATACAAGTTTATTTGGTTGCCGTTTTTGGGAGACCAAAGGCAAATGCCCTACTAACAGACGGCATGGCATGTACTTTGATGACATTTCCGCCCGGTTAAGACCTTTGGAAGACTTCAAAGTAGGCAACCCTGTAAGTATACAAATGTTCAATTAGCCATCTTTTTTTCATACTAAATAACTGCTTATAATAGTCAAAGAACATATACCAGCCGAGCATATATACCCAACTCTCAACCTTCTCTGGATCATTATTTTTTGCATTAGATGAACTTCATTTAATTGCAAGAGGGATTGGAAAGCTTGTGTATGACCTGATTACCGTCACCCTCACAAAGGAAACCAAATTTTATTATACCCATCCAGACAATACCCTCAATACTACCAAATACCCTTTTCATATACTAAGAGCAGACCTTGTAACAATTGGAAACTGTATCACCAGCTCACGAAAATATATACCTACCTCATTTCAAGGCAGTTTTGACAACATATTTGTCAAGATCGATAGTACTTGCGCAGTTGACTGGCTTAACTTTCTCTTATATCTTGTCCCCACTTTGGTCGTGCCTTATTTACCAAATAGGGCTGTCAAAACAGCTCTATTATCTCTTGTGAAAGGCTGCGCACTTGCCTTGCAATGGACATTGACATCAGAATTGCTTGATGAAATGGAGTCGAAAGTTATTATACGTCTCATATATTATCATTACAAATAGCCGATTGTTACCATTTTTTAAATATTAATAATAGATACTTCAAGCACTGGCACTCGTTTTTATACCAACAAGTCCAGAATAATACTCTGTCTCGTAGTGTTTTCTGACTAGTGCAACATTACCTGGTCCATATACCCTATATCATCAAGCAGCAAGGCCCCCTGCAATGCTACTTCACTCGCTCAATGGAGAGAGTAATTGGTGTCTTCTCAAAATTGATAAAGTTCAAATCAAAGGGTGGCCAAAATGCCAGTTTTCTCATTAAGCGATTTGCGATTCACAATTATACCAGCATGGCGATCAGTATCTGTGATGAAGTCAATCTCACTCGGCCAAAGCTGTATGGAAGAGAGAGCTACATGGACCTTCCTAATGATTCTAGTGGTGTGCAGTTGTGGGAGCCATTTCATCAGTTTGCTAATTTGAATGATGATTCGGTGGAAGGTGTAGGCGGCCCTAGTGTGAAGGAAGCTTTATTGAAATATTACCAGAGAACAACAGGCTTGACTAGCCACGAGTTTGGTGACTCTGTTGTTGTTGTAGCTGCACGTCTGTGGATGAACTCAACTATATATTCCTCATGCATGTACCAAAGAAAGAAAAACAAGACCAGCCGTAGCAACCATTACGTGATGTTTACTTGCCCCTATAGAAAGTAAGTATAATATTTTTTGATATACAATCAAAAGTTGCTTACATTCTATTTATTTTGTGGTGATTCAGACACTTGGTTGTTGGATTTATTACATCTAAGAACATATTCCTATTATTATAGTAAAACAGCTATTATTATAAGGACAAATGAATAATTTATTTATTTTACTTATGGTAAATCAATAAGACCAATAACTAATTACAGTAAGTACTGTAATTATGACAGCTCAGTAAGCACTGAGTTAATATGAGGACACTGCAATTAGATTAAATTATAAACATAGCAGTACCAGCTCTCTAATATCTAAATGAACTCAGACTTAAGAAATTAAGATGTGACTGACAAAGCAGATCGTGTTTTGATATAAAAAGGACAACTTTGTATTCTTTAATAAAGACAACCGATATACAGTCTCAAAGTATTCTTATATACGTCTCAATCTTTTTACTGTTGATTTTATTCTATAAAACTTCACATATTTATTTATTTTAGCAACCATAATGTAATTGTTCACAGCTGGCTTGTTGGTACAGTACAGTTCTACTTTCAGCATGTAGATTTCCATGGCTTCCCACACTTTCTTGCTTTTGTGGAGGTCATGAAGGAACATGACGTGGCTGGCCATGACTCATCAGTACCTATCATTAAACAACAGTCACAAAGCACCTGTACACTAGGCCACCAAACACAACCGACTTATGCAGTTATAAGTGTAAATGATATTTGTCATCAAGTTGGTCTGGTCCAATACCCACCAAATGGAAACCAGTTTTATATAATTGCACCCTATTATATCTTTAACAACAACATGCACATTACTAAAGGCAATCTTTCCATTCTGTAATCCTTTTTATTTTTATCTTATTTTTCTATATGCTCTATATCCTTATATCTTTTATATTTTTTATATCATCCTTGTATCTTATATTTTTTTTAATGTTCCTTATTTTTTATGTTTTTTTTTAATCTCTATATGCCTCATCTTTCTTTTCTTCTTTATATACTCCGGTTTTTTTCTATTCTCTATACACCTTATGCTTTTCTCTTCATTTCCTATATGCTCTATACACCATTACGCAATTTAAATAAAATCAAATTGCCAATTCATCAAGATAAAAAGAATATCTAAAAAAAAAGAATGTAGTTTAAAAAATAAAAAAAATAGCAGTTATGTTACTATTTTGTTCACACATTCCAAAAATTATTAATCTTAATAATTGCTGACATTTTTGATATTCAATAAAACATATATTTCAATACTTAAAGTGGTCATTATAACTTACAAACATTTTTTACAGTATTGAAAATATTGTATAGCAACAAAAAAAGTGTTTTCATATTACTTTTTTAAATTGCTACAAATGACATTACCATCTTATAACAAATGGTAGAGATTTTATTGGGTTTCGCCCAAAAAATGGCAGTTATGTACCTATTTTTGGCCCAACTGTCATTCATCCCACCGTAGTGAATAAAATTATAAAAAAATATATAATAAAAGTTATATAATTGACAATCTATTAAATGTGATTTGTTATTTACTATCATTAAGTACAAATAAAATAAAATAATTATTAAGTCATAATCATGAAGATAATTATGCTTATAAGAATATATAATAAAAATAATATTAATTCTAAGTTGATTCGTTCAGTTAAATATAGTGAGAAAATAAAAACAATGTATAGTTCCCTGAAGTTATTGTTGACAGGATGATGCCTTTTTGTTATACTTATTGGTGTTTTGCTCTACGAATAGAAAAATTGCTTTCTATTCAGCCTTGGCCGCCATTGGAAAATCAAAATAATAATAGTAATAGAATATAATTTTCTAGAATTATAAAGAATTCTGCAATGTCACCGCACTTCCGGACAACCGAAAATGTTAAATGCTAATAATTTTTACAACATCCTGTGTCAAACCCACATATGGGGGGCTAGCACAAATGGTAGTGCGTCAGACTCCAGATCTGAAGGTTGGGCGTTCGAGTCGCTCGTCCCTCATATTTTACACATTCTATTGTGTTTGCTGTTTTTAATTGTGTCGTTCCTGATCTGGGATGGTCTTTCTTTTACTATAGCAAAGTCAAAAGGTCAAACCCACTGAGGATCGGAGAGTATATGTAAAATCGAAGAGAGGATAAAAGGTGCTTTTTATTGATAGGAATTGAATTGTCTTATATAGTTTTCTAAACTAATACTGCGCATTATCTGCAGTAAACTATTATACTCTATTTAATTACAAGAGAAGTCCTTTTACTGTGGTTGATGCTCAGAAGATGTTACTGTGGTTAATCTTTACAAGATATTACTGCGGTTTGTTATCTATGAGGTATCTTTGACATACAGAACTGCTGCGGTCAATTATCCCGATTTCTCGGATTCATCAAAATAATGTCCGACAATTGCATCATTTTCAATCCGAGTTGTTCTTCCTGTCAGAGTGAAAGTCTATATTTTCTGGTAGATGATAAAATATTAACCGAAATGGTGACTGCCAATCCTTTTCTTTGTTTTTGAATTGTTTATTTGAAACAGATATTCTATATCCATTAAATTACACATTTTATTAAAATACACACTCTCACCAAATATGTCAATCAACAACACTCAATCTAACAAAATCATTTACACTTTGGCAACAATCTCCCAAGCCTTGGAATGCTATTCTGTTCCAGAAGTGATGACACTTAGATTAGAAAATATTATTAGAGTAAAAACATCTGAGTGAAAAGAATGTTTAACAGAGATTGGGAAAGCTTGTGCAGTCAAGTGGGTCATTCGCAACACCAATAAGCAACCCACCAACATTACTGCTGAAGAAGCCAAAGCAACTGGTATTAAGTTATGTTTTTCTCAGAAGTATTCCTGTCATCATTGGGGAACCTATGAATCTAAGGCAACTTTGCATGTGGTTCAAAAGCAAACAAAGAAAAACAAGTGTCCTGCTCTTCTTCATGTGAAAGAGTTCTTTAAGACACCTGAGTTTTATGAATTTGTTGTTACAAAAGATCATGCAGAGCATACTCCTGATGATATACATAGTGACATTTGCACCCTTCCTCTTGCAAAGAAATATCTTCACGAGTTGGCTCAGCAATTAGAACAGTCGTCAAAATCTGCTAGTCAAATTAGAATTGATATGTTGAGAGCTGTAGATCGATATGGTAGAAAGTCTGAAAGAAAATTTAACTATTATGATATCTGGAATTTGATGAACAAAGTAAGCTTTAAAAATAATATATCTTATAGCATTTACTTTAATATATTTCTGTAATAGATCAATAAAAAGCTGTATCATTTTGACAAAGACCAAATGACTTCTTTCTTAATCTGGATGAACAACAAACTTCCTGCCTTAAACTTCAACATCTTTAAGGCAAACACTTTATATTCTCCAGATCCATCAGCCTTTGCATATGGTTTTATGTCACCCCTTCAGCAAGAAAAAATGAAAACCACAACTTCTTTCTGTTTGGATGCTACTCATGCAATCTCTAGCAACGTGAATGAGATTCTTTATACCCTTTTGGTGCGTGATGAAGATATTGGTAGAGGATGGCCTGTTGCCTTTATAGTAACCAATGATCGAGATGTAAGCCCCATTGTGCAGTGACTGCAGTTCTTGAAGAGATCTTCTTTGCTTGTTGACCCAAAGCAATTTACTATTGATTGTTGTGCAGCAGAAGTTCATGCCATTCAGATAACTTTCCCTGCAACATCCATTCAATTTTGCATCTTTCATATAACCTAAGCATGGAACCGAAAGTTATCTGACAGTGTGAAGATTCCTGGATCCTTATCATCAGAGGCACAAATTTTACGTAGTATGATGATGAAGTCTCTGCAAGAGATCATTTATGAAGAAGACATAGACGAGTTTCATCATAAAATTGTACAGTTTAAAGAAGAATTTGACGACCAAGAAAGCTTCTTGGATTACTTTGAGAGAAACTGGTGCACAGAAGCAAAGTTTAAGATCTGGAGTAGAGCATACCATGAACGACAATTCTCCCATATGCTCACAAATAACTATATCGAGTCCTGGCACAATCAATTAAAAACAGTTTTCATGAAAAGATCTAGAAACAAGAGACTTGATAAGCATGTTTTTGTTTTAGTACATGATGTTGAGTATTATCTCACCCAAGAATATGAACGCATCATGTCAAACAATGGTCCAATGAGTTCTTTTACTAGACAACAAAGAATATGTGAGATGGAAGCTGAAGAAGTCGATGATGATGACAGGGAAATGATGATTGTTGCTCCTGGTATTGCAGAAGATGTAAATTGGCAAGTTCAGTCATTTGTAAATAAAAATACAACATATGTCATTCAGGTTGCAGAGCCAAACTTGATTATTTCCTGCACCTGCTTTGATTATCAGCAAAGATATAAACCTTGTAAGCATATGTATTTGCTTAAAATGCATACAAACCGATCTCTCTACTTCTCTCTACCTTCTGTCACAAGTACAAATGTAATACAGCTAGTCTCTACCTCTGAAACAGCTACAATCACACCAACTATCAGTCGTACATCTGCTTTTATACAGCAATGTATTGACATTAATCAAACACTTTGGTATGCAAACCAAGATCTACTGACTATGCAACAGTATATGACTGAAGATGATGGTCAGACTTTGTTTGATGCATATCAACACTCTCTACAAGTCTTTCAGTCTATAAAAAACAAATATGAAGTTCATCTTTGCAGATCTCATACACAAGAATAAAATTATAACTATCTAGCTTTTTTCTCAAAGAAATGTTTTGTAAATTGAAACAACTTTCAAAACGACTTGATAAATTATTGCATTTTTTATTTTCTGATAGTTGTATTTTTTGTCTTATTTTCTAGTAGACAAGCCTCAATTTCGGCTAATACTTTATCATCCACCAGAAAATATAGACGTTCAGCTTTTTTGTCAGACTAATATTTTAATTAGTGTCATTTTCTATAGTGAAGTACTCTACTCTATACTTGTCTCAATCAAATGCATTTCAATTAATTTAGTTTTTTGTTTTTTTTGCCTTTTCATTTTTTTTTCTTCCCCATTAACTATATTCAATCCTGCACTTTGTGTTCTTATTGATTTTGTTTCACTTTCTATATTAATCTTCTCATAAACTTGGAGACCTTTAAGATTCCCCCAGTATTATCAATTATTAAGATATATGACTTTGTAGGAAATAATAAAATATTGTTTTCTGCAAAAACAGCAGCTGTTTACTTAAAGTCTAGAACTGTATAGACGTTCTATATTATGAGATAACTGGCTTACATTTTCTGGTGTAAGCATTTATTTTGGTATGTAAAAAATAAAATAGTTATACAAAAATCTTATTAAGTCACATGCCTAATTTGTTTACATTTTTATTAGTAAAATCTTTACAAACTTTTACTGCTTAAAATTGTAACAAACTCTATATATAAAAATTCACTGGATAGACCAGAAAACAAGGAAGATAATACCCAAGTACTATTAATTATCTTCTATTTAAGCAGCAAAAAATTATATAAAGTAATTTCTTATTCTTCGTTTATCTAATTAATCATTTACTGATCATTACAGGTGTGAGTGGGAGGGAGACTTGAGTCTTGTCTTCCTTGTTCTCTGGTTTATCTAGTGAATTAATAGTCAAATTTAAAATTCTCCTGGAATTTGATAAGGCCGCAAAACAGGAAGACAAGGTCCAAATGCTAATTCAGAGCATATTTTTTAAGTCACTATGAATCACAGTAAGAACCATTAAACCCAAGATCAGAACAAAAGCAGAGGGATGTAATACAACATTGGCAAAATCAGCAGAAAAAGTCTAATTGTGGTTGTAATATTGCTGAAAATCTTCACAACTAGACCAATTACCAGAAGTTACTATATTGTCCAAAGACATATTATATTTAAGAGCAAGAGTGAAGGCAATAGACTGGACTGAAACTGATTCATGCATAGAGAGCTGCAAAAGACTACAAAGTCAAGAGAAGATAGTAGAAACCTGTACAGAAATTGAAGATTGATGTGCTTTGATAAACAAGCATTGAGAAGGACAAGCAGTGAAAATCTGAGAATGATTCCTAAAGGCACAGAAAGCAAGGACAGAATAAAGAGCCAAGATAAAATTGGACTAAATTGCAATGGTCTTTATAATCTGATAACTGTTTTTTCATTCTTTGGGATTGAGGATGTCAAAAGTTAAAGCACCAGAAGAGGAATTAACTTGAGCAGACAAGAGTTGAAGGCAAGCAAAATCTGATGAGCAAACAATAGTAGTCATTGTAGTGAGAAAGACTGTGTTATGCAAGAGACCAGCAAGAGAAATGAAAGTGGCAGAATAGATGGAGACAACATAATTGAGAGTAGAAGCAAAATCAATGGAGGGACCAGTCTGTTGCAAAGAAGAAGCTTTGAGTGTGAGATGAGAAAAAACAGTCTGAACATCTTCATGACAGCAAAGAGATTTGAAGTTCATATGTAATTTGAGAGTAGCAGTACAATGATTCTTAATAGTCTTCATGTCAAATATGTTATTGTGTTAGTGGACCAAGAAATTGATCAGGTCTTGTAAGATAAATTTGATGAAAGAAACATTGTGTCAAAGAGCTCATGCAATGAAAAAGTGCTGACCCTATTGATAGATGCTATTGGTAGGAGTATTGGCAAGGTCAGAATCTATGAGGAGAAGAATGGATTCATTGGTCTAGCCTGTGTTATCAAACTTGCACTTAATAGTCTGTATGTGACAAGCTTCTATGTCGAGTTTTTTAACAGCCATGGGGTCTTGGGAAAGGCGAGGACTATGAACTGATTGTCCAGAATTAGGGGAGAAGCCACTGACATCTTCAGAAGAAGATGACACCATATGACACTCAGCCAAATTGGAGCCACCAAGGTTACTATCAAGTTCTTCTGCCATATCTTGTGCAGACACCAGCCAATTAGATTCTATGGAGAGTTGAGATAATAATTGTTTCATTGGCTCCAGGAGATGAATATCACATCCAAAGTCATTGCCTTTGGGTCAGGGAGCCAGAACACATACATGGGAAGAAGATGAGTGATCTGATCCACAAAGAAATCCACATTGTGTGGTACTCATGTCAACTGTATCATACTGAACATTGCCTTGAAGAGTTTCCAGAGGTTCTCTGTAGAAGTCTAGCCAGATTCCAGATTGGCAGTGACATTGTCCTTCCCCGCAATGTGCTGTGCAGTCAATCAGAGACTGCTGTGGAGACACCATCTCCAAAACTTTATGATCAGTTGCATTAGGTGGAAGGCGCGTGAGTTGCCTTGCTTGTTGAGGTATGCCATTGAGATAGTATTGCTGATATAAATAAGGACCGAGGTGTCCCAAAGAAAGGGAAAGGTAAGGAGAGCCAGTTGAACTGCTTTCATTTCGCACCAGTTGATTGATATATTGGCTTTCTTGTGTGCCCAGTATCTATAGACCATGTGGGTGCCCAGAGCACAACCTCATCCAGTATTGCTTGCATCCACAAATAAAATGCATCAATGTTGTTCAGGCAAGAGAGAGTGGCCATTCCACTGCGAGAGATTCCATTCTCACAATTGCAGCTTGTAAAGACAATGAAGGGGAAGAGGATGACCCACATTCTAACCAAGGTTCTAGTGAACGTGTTTGTTCTTGAATCATATCAGACACTGTCTGAATAGACGGACTGGAAACAGACCAATTGTTGTGGTCTGAATTCTCATGGAAAGGCTGTAAATCAGAAGGGAAAATGGGAGACACACTGGTAATATGTTGATGAATCAATTGGTATAGGTTGCAAAGCTTTGTCCCAGAAAGCTTTATTGTCATAGTTTGAGTTTCCAACAGGTAATCAAAATTTTCTAGTTGCTGAGACAGTTTGAGAGACAACTTCTTCAGGTTCAGAATCCACCCCAAGGATCCCAGCTTGGCTATCAATAGTTATGTGTGCGCCAGGAATTGTTTAGGAGAATTCACAATGATAATTCAATTGTTCAAATAAGTACTTACTCGTCTTCTACATCATTGTGCCCATTTTAGAGCTGACCATGTAAATTTGGTGAAGAGCCAAGGAACAACAGAAAGATCAAACTAAGTCATTTGAAATTAATAAGTACAGTTTTCCGAACAAAAACAAAGATATTTATGTGATGCATAGTAGATAAGAATGCAGAGAAAAGTGTTGGAGAAATCAAGGGAGGTCAAGAAGTTCCCAGATCAAATCAACTTATACACAGCTTATAGAGTGTCTATCTTGAAGTGAGAGGCAGTTAAGTGTTTGTTGAGGTGCTTGAGATTGAGCACAGGATGATGCCCACCATTCTTCTTGGGGATAACAAATATTGAGCTGGTGAAGCCAAGAGAGTTGGGAGGAGCAGATTCTATTGCTTTCTTGTGCAACAGGTTGGCTATCTCTTGATGAAGAAGACGTCTTTGAGAGTTGTCTATTGGAATTGTTGTGCAGCCATGGGTCAACAGAGGAGGAAGCCAGTTGAAGTGAATCTGAAATCCATTGGAGATAATACTATTCAATCACTTGCTGTTGAACAATCTCTGCTATGCTAAAGAGAACCAAATGAGCTGCCTATCTACAAGAGACAACTCTATTGTGGTTCTGATGGCTTGAGGTAAGGAAACTTTGATTTTGAAGAACGAGAGGACAGGAAATAAGCTCAATGTCTATGTGTTGAGGGGCACTGGTTGAAATGCTCATCTGCAACATGCAATAGACTAGATTGAAAAAACAAATCTCTAGGAGAAGAGGAGGCAGAGGCAGATAGATGTGAATTGCAGAATGAAGAAACAGTCTTATTGTAAATGAGTCTTGACTACTGCTGTAATTGAGAGTAAGTCTGAAGGAAATAATATAAGACCTCAGCTATTCCAGTCAAAGGTATCTACTGATTACAGTGGTTCCTCAATAATTTCAAGGCCTAGCAAAGGTTGTGGTATTTCAGGTACAAAACAATAAAAAAATAATAAATTTGATAATAGAGACGTATAGAAATACTTTGAGACTGTAAATAAGTTTTATTTATTCATAAATAAAAAGTGTCCCTTTTTATAAGAAAACACAATCTGCTCTTGTCATTACGTCTTAGTTTCTTAAGGCTTTCTTCCTTTACTATATTTGGTTATTAGAGTGTATTTACTGCTTAACTAGTGTCAGTGTTACAATTATGACATCAAGTCATAAATCATACTTCTTTAGCTCTTAGCTATTCTTTTCTCTTTTATACTAAAGCTTTAGAGCTTCCTACTAAATTAGCTCTTAGCCATTCTTTTTTCTTTTATACTAGAACTTTAGAACTTCCTACTAAATTAGCTCTTAGCTATTCTTTTCTCTTTTATACTAGAGCTTTAGGGCTTCCTACTAAATTAGCTTTATATCGATCTGATACAGTTTACCCGGCAGTATGATATAATTATCTTAACAATCTTTAAGATATTATCTACAGTATTAACTGTAATAATTATTGGGCTAATTACTTAATTGTTTATATATATTTTATACTGACAAGATGATAGTTACTACGCTATCCCAATATGAATATGTTCTTATCACTATGGGAAAAAGGTGGTCTTTTTTGAATTTGTGACTTCATTTTTGACCTATAATAATCAAAAAATCACCAAAAATCCAAGTTGAAACAAGAAAATCTTTGTTCTTTGAAATGGTTGATAAAAAGCAAATGAATCGCTTAAAATTAAATCTCAGGAGAGACAAATGTTTATTCTAATTAAACATCTTACATTTTTAGTAAATATATATTGGAATTGAGAAATATTGGATGTCAGAAATAAAAAAAAGAAAATATCTAAACTTTCTGCTGCTTGGATAAAATTTGTTAAGACAATTTGAAAAAAAGAAAAAAAAAACAAATTATATATCACTTAAGGCACCAAGTGTCAATTTTGGGCCACGTTTAAGGCTAGGCCAAATGATATAATGACTACCATTGACATTTGATGGCACCAAGCCAACCAACTCTACAATGTCACTGGCATGAATCATTATAGTCTTTGGCTTTACTACAGATGTAATAGGCAATCCATTTTTCAAATGCACACTATATATGGTTATGAGAGCTAGTGGCCATCTCTTCGAGTTGTGTACATGTTGGAAGAATATAACTATCTTTCCAAAGAAATGCTTATATCCTGGACAGTAAGAGCGGGATCTTCTGGAGTTCATGTCCACTTGTAGCTGCACATGAACATGACATGCCTCTCTTGTAGAACTTTGGTTGAATGCAGCATCAATAATACAACCATTAAGATAGGTCTTGCGGCTTGTCTTTATGGAAGGCTCAAGCATACTACATTCTTCCCCCTTCAAATCATAAAACGTTTTAAGAAGCAATGAAAGATGAGATCTATCTTCAAAGCTATCGAAAATTGTTAAATTCTTCAAAAAACCCCAGAACTCAATCTCACACTCAGCATTGGCAGGATCACCTCCTTCTGTAACAGGCCACCCATTGGTATATGCACTGTAAACTAGAAGGTTAGCTGGTGGAGTTTTTGTGTTTGCAACGGTTGTCAGTTCCGCTACACGCCGGGATTGTGCCAGTCTGATCATAATGTTTCCAGCATTGACACTGACTTGGGAGTTACTCTTGATGGACTTGGAGTACTCACCAATGGCTCTTTCCACGGATCGTGTGCTATATGCTCTTGGCGGGTCATATAGATCAATCATCTGAAGATAATGCTGAATAATGTGCTGGTTAATTGTGAACATGCCAATGTCAATATCTGCTGTAGAAAGAAGACTCTCTAGGAATAAGTTCCATTCTACAAGATTACTAGAAAAAAGTTAAAAGTAAATTACTATGAAAAATGAAATAAAATATGGCATTAAATATACCTTCTTATTGAGGTTTGATTCTCTGCTGATAACTCCCAGCTCATGAGTAAATTGCATGTTTGAACCAGGCCAAGTAATGCATTTTGGGGCAACCAAGTCCTGGACATGCTCTGCAACCAACGTGGGGACAACAAAGAGTAAAAAGTCTGCCCAATCCACAGCTCTAAAGAAACTGACATTCTTTGTCATGTCTCTCCAGGCACCATGCAATGATGTAGGGATTGTGGATTTTGCGGCTACTATTGCAGCACCAATCTCCCTTTGAGTGGCAAGAGAAAGACATAGAGGATGCTTGATTCCATACTTTCTGTATACAAGTCCCCATACCTGCTTACCAATTCCGTGGCACAGACCATGCATCTCGTCTAACGCAAAAAAAAATGGGCCAGAGAATGTTTCCATTGAGGCTAATGGTAACTGACTATTGAGCCCCTTTCTGTCTTCACTGCTTGCCAGATTGTAGTTTCTGAAACTCTCCAGTGAGCGCGTCTGGGTTCCAGGCAACATGCGGAAGTACTGGCCATGTTTAGGAGTTTGGCCTACTACGTGACAAATACGACAGCCATTCTTACTTGTGTGGCCAACATGGCATGCCAGCTTTGCCAGAGCCAGAATATTGTCAGTGGCCATGAGAACATGTACCTTTGCCCTGATCGTTGTCGTTGGTGTCTTTACTTCCATGCCTTCTGTCCGGAGCAAATGGAGATTTCTCAGCGTTGACTCAAGAAAAGACCAGATGTCACTGGGACCAGTGCAACTAGGAAGCATTGCTATTTGGATCATCCTGTTTTTCTCATAACGGATCGTCGAATTCAAGTTCAAGACAGTTGCATGAACAATGGTTACTGATCCAGGTACATTGTGTGGGTTGAACCTGTCCATGGACAACAAAATCGCAATATCGTTTTCACCAGAAAACAGATGCTTCATGGATTGGTATACATGACCATCAAAAACATCTGCTTTCTGCCCGTCTTGGCTGGATTGGTGGTTATGATGATAGAGCATTTCAGCCCTGGTCTTGTCATCAGCCGAGCACAAAGCAAGCTGTCTGGCCAAAGGAAGCTGTACGATCAATCTCACAGGAACCCTGGTGTCACTTTCGCTAGTTTGGCCATTTTTATATCTTGCTTCACCGCATTTTATGCATGCAATATCATTCTCGTTGTTGAACTGCATACAACCTCTGATGCAAATGTCATATCCGCCTGCTTTGATATCCGAGAAGCACTCAAGAAGCTTGTTTCCAAGGTGTGGGCTGCATGCTCAGTACATAATATTGATAGAACAATCAAGGATCTGGTTGAAGTGTTCTACAATCTTTTCGTGAGCTTGACAAGAAATTTCGAACTCTTGGATCAACTGCATGAACGCGAGATTCTTTTTATCATTGTTGCTGGGAACAGGAAGAGGCTGACTAAAATCAAAGACTAGCGAGGGTGTGGTGCCTTCAATTTCGTCAATGACATTCTCGCATTCTTCACCAAAATTGTACTATAGTAAGATAAACAACAATAAGTATGATTATCATAATATATGTATTTATGTATCTCACTATGGACTCATCATCTTCAGTACTGTCAATGATATCCATATCCTCACTACTGCTTGTGTTGATGTTTTCTCTGTTTGTTTATCAAAGTATACAGCTAATTAATATACTATATATCGTTTTGTGTTTTTGCTTTTGATAAGCTTACCCAAAAGCCAAGTTAGGAACCATTGCTGATGTAAACTGGCTTTGATCAGGAAGAGAGACAGTTTGGGAAACTTTGCCATTGGCAAGTAATTCTGCCCTATTTGTCATGCATTGTTCGAGACATCTTTTATATGTTCAACTGTTATTAAAGGTTGACTTGCAAGTACAGCATTGGTAATGAGGGGCTTTTGTAATTTTGAACATGTTTGAGGTAGATAAAAAAAACTTTGTTATATAAGTAAGAATAGAATTAATTACTTTCTGAATGTATAGCTTTATACTTAATTATATAAAGACAATTATGTTATATGCATTCTGAATATATGCTCGGGATCTTAAAGAAGTATCTGTATGTCATCAGTGAAGTTACTAGATCGATGTTTCTTCAGGAGTAACTAATAGATTTGTACAAATAATTTGAAACTAATAATTTGAAGCTAAAAAATTGAAGCTAAAGATTTGAAATTAATAATAGTTTCTGGTAAAAAATTTTCTCTTTCTTTCTTTTTCTATAACAAACACGTAACTGATTTTTTTTTACAATTATAAACAATACAGACAATACAGTGATTCAGTTGCTTCAAGGAATACAAGCTGCACTTATTTCCCTAAAGAGTGGTCAAGAAGCATTGCTAGGCCGTCAAGAAGCATTAGAAAAAAAACAAGATGCGATGAAACTTCAAATGACAAGTTTTTACAATGAATTTAAAGATCAGGAATTTCCAGATAGAACTATTGTAACCTCTACCAGTGTAAGCAAATACAATAACAACTAAAGTCCTTTCAATTAATGTCAAACATAATAAACTCTTACTGGCATCATTCCAAGACCCGTATCAAAAATCAATGATATAACTTTAAAGCATATATACAAGATAATAACAGACAATCTTAGAATAGAATTGACCGAGGAAACCAAGAGAATTGTTAACACATGTACCAAGATCATATGTGATCAACTGGCAGCTCTTCCATCTGTTCAGGATCTTGGAACAAACCCTGACTGGTCATTGCTTCCTCAAGAGGATAAAAACAGGCTGTGTATCAATCATTCTATCATACTCAGAGACAATGGAATCGATTTTACCAGATGTCACAGAAACTGGGCATCAATTGCAAGGGTTAGCCAGCTCTGAAGAGGGCATAAGAAGTGAGAATACTCTGGTAAGTTCATATCTGGTAGGTACAATAAATTATGTAATTAATGTGAGAATATGTAATAATCTGAAGGAATTTTAGCCAGTACGATTCATGAATAAAATATTATTTCTATTATAACAATCAATAAAAACATTTTTAAATAATGATCTTCTATGAAATAAAACTTTTTTGCCCAATTAAAACTGTGAATGAATCAGAATATATATATGAGAACCAATTAAGAGAATGCTTTTGTTTAAATGACCAATACTATCAATGTGCATACTGCAATAAAGTTTATATTATCCAATTAAAAGTAGCAGTATAACGAAAGTATTTTATGAGTGACAATACAAAGATTCTTTTTTTTCCATCTATACCAATAAGAAAGCTCTTTTTTATTTTCTTTCTACCAATAGAATGAGAAAAATAATACATAAATTTAAATATCGGGATATGAATAAAACATAACATCCATCAGTCAACGGAGATCAAATTATATTTCCAAAAATAGAGATGGTCTTTTTGCTGGTTTTACCAAAACTGCCACCCAAAAGACCACCTAAAATACCACCTAAAAGACCACCTAAAAGACCACCAAAAAGACCACTTTTTTTCCCGTAGTATATATGTGATAAATCCAACATCTGAGTGTCTGGATCACCACAAAGGCCAGGTGCCTTGAAATTACCAAAGAGTGAAATTAACGAGTTCGGAGTATATATTTTCTGCCAACTATGGGCGGAGTTTACATTATTCTTTAATAGAAAAAATATATATCAAGTAATGATTTGATATGCTTCAATCCTCTGTTTAAATTTATTCTAGTTAAATATAACTCCTGGCTGCATTACTGTTTTCCACTCCCCCTGTCTCATAACCAAGTATTGTTTCAAATTCTTATTCAATCAAATAATAACAGCTTTTTGATATGCTTTTAGCTTATTATATAATGCTTAACTAATATCATTTTCAATTTTTTTGATACTTTAATGAAATCTATCAAATCCAGAACTAAACAATAAAAATGAGCAAAAAAAACGTTTTACTTAATATTGCAAATCACCTTGAGATTTGTGATATAAAAAAGAAAAAGCCATCTATGAGTAACCCCCAATTGGCTGAATGGGCAAAGAAAACCTTTGGCCTTCAAAAAGCTCCTGATGCTTCTACAATCTCAAAGATTTTGAAGAGAAGTGACCAGGACTTGATAATGCAAGCCAACGTAAAAAACAGAAAGCGCGTTAGAAATAGAAAATTGCCTGTATATAATATATCTCAACATTATGCATTTTTGCTCTGTATAAAAAATAAAATTAACCTTATTATATTGTCACACAACTATAGCAAATTGAAGAAGCAGTGATTCTTTGGATCAACATTGCTGAAAATAATCAGATTCTCATCACTTGGGAATTGATTAAGACTAAAGCTACTATTTTTGCTAAAAAAAATAGGCGTTAAAGACTTTAGTGCTTCTCAAGGCTGGATGAAGAAGTTTGGAAAGCGTCATTCCATTAAAATGAATCGAATTCATGGTGAGGCTGGTTCTACTGATATAGAATCGCTTCAGATTAACAAGGCTGCCATCAAAGAGAAGATAGAGGGATATAGTGCTTGTGACATATATAACTTTGATGAAACAGCACTCTTTTATGCTGCCCCACCAAGAACAACAATTTCTCACCAGAAATTTTCTGGTTGGAAAGATAACAAGAAGCGCCTGACTGTAGGTCTCTTGTGTAATGTGGATGGAATGGACAAGTGGTCCGATGTACTGATGATTGGGCATGCAAGAAGACCAAACTGCTTCAACAAAAACAACAAGAAGCAAGAAGCAAGTGATCATGAATTCTCCATGTATCATTACAATAGCAATGCTTGAATGACAAGATCGATCTTTCATGTTTTCCTCCATTGCTTTGATCATGCCATGAAAGCTCAAAAGCGCAAAGTTCTTTTGATTCTTGACAATTTCTCTGATCATATAGTTGATTATACATCTACAAACGTCGAGCTTCTTTTTTTGCCACCAAACACCACTTCCCACCTTCAGCCATTGAATAGTGGTATTATTCAGGCATTCAAGGCTTATTTCAAGTGTAAGCAGTATGGCAAGGCATATCAATACATTGGCATGATTCAAAATGGCAATCAAGATAAAATCGGGCCAATTGATAAAATCTTTGAAATCGATCAATTGTGGGCCATGAAATGGATAAGAGAGGCTTGGGAATCTATCTCGGCAAAGACTATTGAGAACTGCTGGAATGCAACAATCTTTCACTTTATTGAAGACGAAGATAGTGAAGGTAGTAGTAAAGCAATTTATCGGTTATAATAGTAGTATAATATTTCAATTCCACTTTCTTAATATTCTAAATATAATTTATAGATGTAAACCAGGCTATGATTCAGCAAAGTCTGGCTGAAAAGGTTCTCATCGAGGGATTACAAGAAACCCTGGACAAGATTGCTGGATCAGGTCTTCTGTCTCTGGAAGATTGCCCAACAAATGAGTCTGATCCACTCTATGAGAGACAATGCACTCATAGAGTGGTCAATGAAAATGAGATTGCAGATATTGTGATGGAAGAATATGACGCCAACAAAAATGCAGCCAACAACAGCTGTTGTGATGGTTGAAGTTGAAGAAGTTGTTGAAAAGAATGCAAGATTTGAAAGTGAGGAACAAAGATTCGTGAGAACTTGTGTAGGGTTTGTTTATTGAGAAAAGATTTGGTATCAAAGTTTGATCAGGTTCCTACACTGAACTACTACTGCTATTTATATTGTTTTGGATTGGGAAAATTATATGACTGGGGTCAGGTAATCGATCCTATCTGAGCCTTAATCAGAGCAACGTGATCTTGGGATAATTAATGTATGATTAATTATATAAATGTGTGTAGTCCCAATGAAGTATTAACATCGAAAGTAAATGTGTTTATGAGTTATAATTATGCTTATAATAATCCACTGATGTATCCCATATTATGGTGATATCATCATATGAAATATAATCACTATCATGCATGCTAAACCTGTGTGTTAAATAATAAAGTAATTGGTAGACACCTTTGACTGGAATAGCTGAGGCCTTATATTATTTCCTTCAGACTTATTCTCAATTACAGCAGTAGTCAATACTCATTTACAACAACAGCGATGAAGAAACTGCTGAAGTGGAACCAGCAGTTTCTTTTAAGAGAACTTATTCTGCTTCGGAAAAGTTTGAATATGTTTGTACACTTTTGGATATCTTGGAAGACGAAGATATTGACAGAGACTTGGTCAGTAAGGTTGAAGGCCTTCGAAACAAGTTCCAGAAAACTGCAAACTCAAAGCAAACTAAAGTCACCAGCTTCTTCAAGTCTTTTTAAAATTTATTTTTTTTTCAAATAAAATAAAAACAATTTTCTATAAGAAATATATTTTTCTTCATTTAAAAATAGAAGAAAAAAGTTAGCAGCCAAGTACAGTCAAAGCTTGATTTCGTAATATGTTTGTAAATAGTAATAATTACAAATAACAATAAATAGCAATGACAGATAGAAATAATAAAATATATTATAAAAACTTTTATAATAAAACAAATTAGAATTATATTTATATTTTTCAAGTAAATAATTTTTACTAAACAATTAATAATTGAAACTTAATCAAAATATAGCACATATAGTTTTATTTTATTTCTGAAAAAAAATGAAAAAAAATTTAAAAAAATTAAGCTAGATGACAACTTGATAACCCAAAGTTTGGCATGAAAACTTAACGCACTTGACATTGATGTCAATTACAAAATCGTGAAAAGCTAGAATTAAAAAAATTTAAACCAAGCTGTAACTATATTGCTCTCGTCTGATTGGTTATTTTTTTTCTTTAAGGATTCAAGGCCAAAAAATTTTGTGAAAGTAAATTTAATCAGAATTGTGAAAGTTAAGCCCTATTTTTCAAGTTGGGTCTTCAGAGCCTTGAAATTATCGAAGCGTGAAATTAAAGGGGTGTGAAATTATTAAGGGACCACTGTACTTGATTATTTAACACACAAGTTCATCATATATGATAGTGATAATATTTCATATAATGATATGACTATAATATGAAATACATTAATGAATTATTATAAGTAAAACTATAACTCATAAACACATTTACTTTCTATGTTAATACTTTATTGGGACTACACACATTTATATAATTAATTATTCATTAATTATCCCAAGATCACGTTGCTCTGATTAAGACTAAGATAGAATCAATTACCTGAACCCAGTTATACAATTTTCCTAATCCAAAATAATAAAAAATGCAGTGGTAGTTCAGTGTAGAAACCTCGTCAAATTTTGATACCAAATCTTTTCTCAATAAACAAACCCTACACAAGTTCTTACAAATCTTTGTTCCTCACCTTCAAACCTTCAGTTCTTTCTAACAACTTCTTTTAAACCATCAATCACCACAACAAGTCTTATACACAGACTGCAGAGAATTCACTTTTCCCAAAAGAGATTATTGAAATTTGAAAGGATCTATAGTATAGTTCTTGGTGGAACCACTGTCAGTCATTTGGAATTTAAGATTAAATGACTGCAGAGCTAGCTCATTGCAAGATTGGATGATAAATGCAAAAGTGTGGATAAGTAAGGAGCACAAGTTCTTAATCATAGCAAGAAAATATAGTGCTTGCATTTCAGAAATACTGAGAAAAATTTCGTAGGCCAAGATGTCCAATAGCCAGAAAGAAGCAGACAGATTATACTATAAGTTATACAGAAGAGTGTCTTTCTTTAATTGATGAGGCTTGAATTGAGCCAGAGCAATGGAAAGAGTGGCAGGAGGGAAGTAAGCCATATTCTGGATTGGCAGATAAGTGTCAATAATCTTCTTGTGGGTCTTGATATCTAATGTAGAGGTAAAAAAATTCATTGACATGCTAGTTGTGGCCTTCAAAAGCTCAGGTGGAGTCCAACCATAAGTTGCACAAACAAGAATTGTGTGTAGCATAGAGGAGAATATATTTTCTAGTGATACCAAGTGAGTCTGCAAAGCAGCTATGGTTTGAGTGAGTTGAGTGAGATCAAGAGTTTCAGACATGACAGGGAAAATCAAGTAGCAGTAATAACCAGCAAAAAAAATGATTAATTTTTTTTTATTTTATTTTTTATTATTTCAATAAATTTTATTGAAGAGCTGGTGAAAGTGCTCAAGCTCTAGAAGTCATCTGTACAAAAGAGAGAAAGGAAAGAAGTAGAAAACTAAAATTGGAAAAGATGAAATAGAAGAAGAGTAAGAGTGCCTACTAATGAACAACTGATGTAAAACTGTTATGAATACTGTTGGCTTTACTAGCCACCACACTTGCTACAAACTGAGAGCCATAAAAAATGAATTGCCAGTGAGCACACCATATGGTTTGAGCCGTTATGCTGACTATCAGAGTGCGATAGTCGTAGGCATCAAGAGAAGAAAGAAGAAGACATTGAGTGTACAGATGAATGATGCCATTGATATTCCAGTTGGGAAAATGGGTGGAAAAGATCAAGTCTCAAACTCGTTTCTTTTGGTGACATTCAAAAAAGAAATGCAATTGGTTCACACAAAGAGCAGAACACAAGCAACAGAAAGGAGAAATCAGCAAGTCTGGAAGGATATGTGACATTGGACTACGTGTAGGGACGCATCCCCAAAGAGTTTTCCACCAGACTGTAGGGCAATGATGAGATACATCAAACCGCCAAAAAAGGCTCCAGGCAGGTGCTGGGGTAAGTGAGAGGGATGTGCGTGGGCACAAGTAATGTGAGAAGAAATAGATTTGAGCAAGACGTAGTGGGCATTTATGGACAACAAGAAGAACAAGGAGAAAGGACAGATCAGGAGGGCAGAGAGGATCACTATTGGACAGTGTAGTAAGAGAGCAAGAAGACCACGGTTTCAAAGTGATTTGATCATATTCTATCAGGCAGAACAACTGGCAAATACGAGTTTGGACACAAGAAAGGTTATCCAAGAAATATTTCTGTAAACGTTCAGTCTCATCCAGCACAAAAGTGTTGGATACAAAGATATGTTTAAAGTTGATTGGGCAGAATGCAAAAAAAAATGATCAATTAGATACACAAAGAATAAGAAATTACTTTATATAGTTTTTTGCTGTTTAAATAAAAGATGAATAATAACACTTGAACCTTGTCTTCCCATTTGACAGTCCCATCAAATTCCAGAAGAATTCTAAATTCGACTGTTAATTGTTACAATCTTGTCTTTTACTTAGGCTTTCTAACTCTATAAACTTCATATAGAACGCCAAGAAATCTGTCCTTAACTTCTAACATATACTTAACTATCAGAAATATAATGGCACTATATGTGAGACGTTTATCCATATTTTTCATATTGGAAATATTAGGGTGCACCTTTTTTATAATGGACAATTTTTATATGTAAAATTAGAAAACCATAAGAGCATCCACAGCGGTATGTGTAACTAAAATAATTATGTAAAATAAAAAAGCCGCGTTTAAAAGAGATAATTTAGACCATCCACAGCAGTCTGGGTAAAATTAGCAGTGTACGTAAAAAAGCCCTGGATGTTTTTGTGAATTGTTAAATTTAAAAAGGCGGTAATTATTATTGAGAAATAATCAGTTAAAACTTTTAGTTAAGCAATCCGCTGAGGATGAAAAATCTAAATTTTCTGTCTAAATTAACATTCTTGTTAAATTTACACAGACCGCTGTGGATGCTCTAAGGCTTTATGGGATCTTAATTTTTTAAAATTTTGTTACTACTGAGTTGCTCGCTTTACTATTTACAAACTCTCTGCGGTGAGACTTCTTCTACTTCTCTGCAAAAAAAAAACTTTAAACAAGATGAAGTTTGGACATTTAAGCCGGGAGGCTCAAAAAATGTCCTTATTTTGTAGCCAATAATAATACTCCCAGGGTTTTAATCTGCTGTGTGTAACGTATAGTGCATCCTTTTATAGTGTGTATTTTTCTATATATAGAGCTAGAAAAGCAAAAGGCTTTATGGGATCTTTATATTTTTGAATTCTGTTTGCTCTGGTATGTTTTTAAGGGTATTTAAAAACTCTCTGCAATGAGACATATTCTACTTTTCTGTAATTTTCTTTTCTTAAATGAGACAAAGTCTCAATATTTAAGCATGGCAACAAATGTAAGATTCCTTTTTTTTCAGCCAATGATATTTATTCCGGAGTTTTTCATACAGTTACACACCTACTGACATTTCTTTCATTTATGGTAATTTCTAACGGTACAGCTGTTTCTATTGGTTTAGAGTTCCAATTTTAAGTTGAACCTGTTAAGGCTCAGATTTGGGTGTACGAATTTGATATAAATGAGCCAAAAGTGGATTAGTGTAATGTTTTAAGTGTCATGATAAAATTTTAGATGGTACAAAAATCTGAAATGGGGGGAGAAGCGAAGAGAGCTGGAAAAGAAGAGATTTTATTGGACGAACCCCATTGGGAAAAATACTTTTTTTTTTGATAAGTCATTTTTTTTAATAGATTTTTGCAATGTTCATCAACATCCACCAGAACATGCCGAATTTTGCAACGTTGAGGAACTTTTGGTTATTGGAAGACCCGACGGACAAGTGAATATCAACAGCCTGAACGATGTTGATGTCATCTTTGTTGACTTCAACCAGGCCTCCAAGGGGCAGAACCACAATGTTGTTGTAATTGTCCATTACCACGGCTGGGGTATAGATGCAATTTACATTGCTGTTCGGAACAATTTGGTACTTTTGCATAAAGAACGCCTTCCTCATTCTGTCTGCAGAGTCTCTTGCTTGAACGATCTTTACCTGACCAAGGAATAATTGACCATTTGATTGAAAAACACCTGCAAGTGTATCGCACAAAGTGGGAGTCGACAACCCGGAATTGTCACTGTTGACACGAGAACCAAAGAAATGGAGATTAAAGCCTGGGAAATTGACAGGGGCTAGCTTGACAAAATCACCAATTGAACTTCTCACAGATCTTGTTCCATTACCAGCTGGTTTCTCTACGACATACGATCCTCCATTACAAAGATGCCGACAGATGAATTGCTTGCCGAATCTTGTAGCGACGTCTCGAGAGGTGGAATGGCGGTTGGTCTTGAATAAATGTTCGCGGATGAACTTATTGAACTGTTCACCGTTTTCAGTTTCGTATTGCAGCACGGAACCGAAACAAACAATGTCGTCAGTGATATGATACAGAAGGTGGACCTTTGGCTTGAACGTGAAGTTTTGCTTAGAAAATCCTTTTTGGAGAATCTGGACATCCAGTTGAAAAAGCAGATCCGTTACATCAGTGACAGCGTGTTTTATCTGGGCAATATAGTAGTCGAAGCACCGGTCGACTCCACGCATGTACACCAAAGACGACAGGCGGCCTAATGCATGCAAGGCTTTAATGAACAAACTTGCCGATGGTTTGTCACTAAAGAGCTTGCTCATAATTCCAGGCAGGACTTGAATCAATTCCTTGAAATCGCGTCCAACGAACAAACCAGTGTGGCGAAGCTTGTTCCTGAATGTTCGGCTGTAACTCTTACAAGACTTGTAAGAGTTTAGAGCTTCCTGGAGTCTCCCCTTTTCACTTGTAGTCAGCATCTTCTGTTTCCAGAGAAAAGTCATCAATTATTTCGTCAGGCCAAGAGGAATAATGTGGAGAATTTCGACAGGCATGTCTTTGGTAGGGTCAAAGGCTTCGAGTCTAAGAAATTCCTCACTTCCATTCTTGATATAACTCAATTCGCACCCATTGAGATATAGCTCTGACTGGGAATCGGCATTGGCAAAGGCGCACAAGAAATCCCTCGTTCTTTCTTCTGACCCATGGTGGTCAACTGGAGAATACGGTGGAGCGTCAGGGATGGAACCCTGTTCAATACGAGGCGAAGGTATGAGGCATTTTCGGCAAAACTTCTTGGCAGATGTTCCCTTATGCATGGCAAGCTGAGATTGACGAGGGTTGTCACCCATAAAGAGCAACAGGGGCGCAATGACAAGAACTACTTCACCATGATCCTCAGAATACATCTCAATACCTTTCTCCAGCCTAATGAGGTCATCGACGATAGGGGGCAACATCTCAACGGCATTCAGTGTATGATTCGAGGTACAAATGAAAAGAGCATTTTCTCGTTTGTTTCTCGTCTCAAGTGGCAACGCAGCAAAGTACATTAAGTAACTGTCATACTTGTTGTACTGCTTTGTTGAATTACCGGAGGTATCGTCGGAATAGAGATTAAGTGGGCAGACAACCACTTTCATCAAACCAGAGCCTGGAAGTCTTCTCTTGAATTCTTCAACACGGGATTTGTTGAGCCACAAGTCAGATTGAACACCAGTAAGAGCATAGGTGACAATTTTGGCAGGGCAATAAGAAACAGAGAAACCACGTCCGAGGAAAAGATCGCTGTCTTTTTGAACAGTAAACATAATCCTATCAACTTCAATGGTATACTTCAGGGTAGAGACAGCAAAGTTCGTAGAGTTTCCAAACCGCAGGAAGTGAGTATCATCAGGATGGTTCAGCCGAGGATCGTGGCCACCATAAACCTGGAACGCATTGGCAAGTATGGATCCGTCCTTGGTGAAGAACTTCTCAAGGAGATACTGGTTCGGGGAGCCTTGGACTTCGACGACATCACCCACCCAGTAGTCCATTCCGTTTGAAGTGATCATCGGGTGCTGGAGCAATGGGTTCTCCTTCCACTTTTTGCCTTGGTTGAGATTCAACCGCTGGTTTTCCGTGAAGTCAGGAAGGGCCGAGATTTGAGATGATTTTCCGGGACATGTCATGGTAAACTTGATGTAATCGGACGGTTTGTTCATCCAAAGTACATGTCGTTCATTGTCTTGGTTCACAACATCGAAACTGGCAGTAGGAAAAACAGGGATCTGGTTCTTTTTCTGCTTGTGATAGTTAATCACAGCATTTGGTGTCGGAAAATCCAGTGCTACTCCAGATTCTTCACGGACGTCCAAGACCATCTTCATGGCAAACATGATCTTCTTGATAGATCTTTCTGAGGCAAGATCTTCATCGCCGTAGAAGAGAGCATGTAAGATAAACTCTACTTTCGATTTAAACGGACGGGTGGGTCCAGTAAAAATGTCAGCAAAGTCATCGGGCCGGTACGATGTCTGTCTGCTGCTGTCTTCGTTCGAGTAGACATTCATGGCATGAGAAAGAGATTGGAAGGTTCTCATTTCTGCTGCCATTCTAGCGATATGATCCTGGCTATCATATTCTACTCTGGTGTCCGTGTCTTCGTCGTCAGTGGTCTCATCATAGTCATCTGATGAATCACTGTTCAGCAAAAAAAAAAACAGGTTATTATCTATTTCAATATTGCATTACTAATTTTCACTTACGATAGAATGTGATCATCACTATATTCGTCTTCGTCAGAGATTTCATGGCCATATGTGTCCTGAGGGTTTTCAATAATAAATTCCATTGGGGCAGGTTCATTATTACTGTTCAGGTTGGTAGTGGCAGTGGTAGTGGCAGTGGTAGTGGCAGTGGTAGTGGCAGTGGCAGTGGCAGTGGCAGTGCTTGCAGAAGAAGAAGGGCCATCAAACATAGCAGGTCTAATGTTAAGGTATGCTCAATTTCAGCTTTACATTACATAGTATTTTTCATCCTACTTTTAGGATTAACTTACCTTCTTTTTAGAAGTTTCTCATACTCCCCCATTTCGTTTGGATGTTTTTTCGTATAATGTCTTCTGAGGCCTTGCAAGGACCCTAACACTCTTTCGGTTTCGCAGACGGTGCACACAAATGTTCGGTTGTCTGTAGCCGTCAGTGTGAGGAATGTGTTCCTCTTTGTTGTGAAGTGATTTTCCATGTTTAAAAATCTTTGGAACGAAAGATGTAGAAAAGCGTAAACTAATTCGAGGTACCATATCTTTAATCATGCAAAAAATGACTGCTAAAAAAATCATGTGAAATAATGTGAGCTAATTTTTTTTTTGTTTACTTGTTTCCTTCTTTTTCTTTTTTTTTCTCATGACTGAAAGGTAAGTTTCAAGCGTAATCTAACAAGATGATAGCGTCCATCATACCGAACACCCTCAGTAAGTAATATATTTATTATGCCCTACTTCATATTGATACTAATATATATTTTTTTATTAGATTCTATGGAGATTCCAACATGAGATTGTATTAGGAAGTTACTTCAAACTATGCCAAGCTGTCTGTCGTGGTATTATAAGGTATCTACTCCTAACATAACTAAACAAGCAGTCTTTTCCTTTACTTTTGTTAATAACTTTACCCTCATCTCTTTAGGTAAGTCTCATATATCACTGTCTGTCTAGTATAAAAAGGTAATTTACCATATTATTTACTTCAAAGGTCATAACACTAATACTGTTTCTGTTTAATAGTCGTTCTTCTTTACTTTTACCATGTCTATCTCCCAATCTATTGCATAAGAGAGGCTGCTACACTAGACTAGCTACTAGTATATAGAACGCGTAATCCTAGTACTATTTTTTTATTGAAACCAAAATAAAAACATTTTTTTGAAACATTTTTTTTTTAAACATTTTTTGAAACCCTATAATTGCAATTATTGGACCCCCCATTTTTCAGATTTTTTGTATCCATCCTTTTTTCCATTCATGGTAAATTCGAGCGGACACTTCATATTCCGCTTTAGGAAATTTTAGTCAGGCCAACTTTAAATCTAGCTTGGACATTGAGTTTAAAAAAATCTCAGTGGGTGTGTATATAATGTATCGTGTTACATAAACGATTCTAAGTTACCATTTATGGCATCGGGGTTTGCAATCCAAAAAATATCCTCTTTTCAAAAATTGTCTATTATAAAAAAGATGCACCCTAGAAGACAAGCAGAAGAACATCTTCAGTAAGGCCGTTGCTTGAGACAAACACTGACAAGAATTCAAAAAAGATAAAAATATTCCCTTCTGGTCACCGCCTAGGATTCACCCAAGATACTGCTGGTAAGCTATTAAATTTGAATAATTTAATCGTCTTTAATTTTTGTACTAGGTTGAAGGAGTTGGGAAAAGGTGTTTTGCAGACTGCAAAAACAAGGTAGGGTAAAAAGTGGAATATATATAAAAGAGAGAGAAATTGGTGCTTAATTAAAGTTCAACTATAAAACACTTTTAAACCTTGAAAAACTTGCAACAATTTACTGAAATTTCCTTTTTTTTTCTATAGGATACTACTATATACTGCCCTTACTTTTTATATCGTCTTTAAATATATTTACTAGTTGAGATGTGCTGCATATAATATGATCTTGTTTATTTTGATTTATTTAATCATATCACCCAACCTATTAATTCACCTTTCGATAACTTTTTCCAAATTCTTCTCTTAAAAAGCAACGCAGTTACTCGTAATATGATATGCATAGAAATCTTTAATTTATTTCAAAAAAAAATAGGAACATATAACAAGCTAAACGTTATCAAGTCAATTAATATATCTCGTATGTATTATAAAAGGATACTATTTGCAATAATTAACTAGGACTAATATCCTCAAACAATTTATGTAGCAATAAGTTTGACTTATTTAATCAGAGCTCTTCGTGTAAATGTAATCTTTCCTCGACCTCACCCTCAGCGAGCTTAACATCTTTGTCTTCAGATGGTATATGAGGTGTCTCACAAACGGCGGGAGAACGCATACGGAAATGATATTCACATTTTTCTGGCTCAGAAACCTCAAGGATCTCTGTCTCAGCACCACATTCAAAGAAAGCACGGACACTTCTTTCGGGACCATTCCAACAACGTGTTCCATGTGAGTGTAGATGTTCATGATAACGATCCTTTGCCCCAGATTCGACTGTACCAGCAAATTTCTCGAAGCGACTATATATATATTAGAATACTTGCAGATTAACATAATCATGTACCTGTGTTCATAAAATATCGACTTACCCAAGATTTGTGCGTGAGCTATCCTTGTTGGATTTTTGATATGCTGTTCCTAGAATACAAAGAGAATAGGTATATCTAAGAAGAAGAAGAATGATTATTCTAAAGCACAGCAATAGCTCAATATCGTAAATTAACGTACTCTCCCTCATTCTTCTCAACACAAACATCCTTGAGAGTCAACCATTCTCTATTGTGTCCATAATCTTTCGACAATTCCTCATTAATGTTCTCCAACTTTTGTTCCTGATTGCTTATATCTGAATTGAGATCGTCATATGCCTTGCGAGTTGATTCCAGTGCTAAATTAATAATAAACGAGTGTAATAAGAAGAAACAGCAAATAAATGTTAGATTGGAAACATATCTCTCTGGTTAATTTAATTCCAAAAGGAATTCAACACTAGAAGCATAATACATGTAGACAGGTCCCGCACCTGATTCACTGCTTTTGACGGTGCTTTCATTAACATCAGCATTTTCCTTTGAAAGCAGTTTATCCAGTCGGGTTTTTAATCCAGACGGCAGTACTGACACTACTTTGTTCAAGAGTGATTCTTTTGGTCGAGTATTACCTTTAGTCGTACACCAAGGAAATCACAGAATCGCAATAAAATAGCAATATATATATATATATATAATGAGAGAGAGATGTATGTCAGAAGTATATAACCAAGAGTGAGATTGGGTTCAATAGAGTCTATAGAGACACAAATTTATGCTGGCTTGGACCAGTTATAAGTTTATTTATTTACCTTCTTTTGCAGCTACATCCTCTGAAGAAAGTTCATCTTCTGAATTCTCAGGGACATCAGCCTCTGCTTCATCAACCTCATACTCATCTGTAATAAAATCTTCAGAAGAATCTTCAATATCAGCCAAATCTTTTTCAATTGTAGTCTTGTAATCCTCATAAGTTTCAATGAACTCATCGTATCCAGAAATTGCACTCTTCACTGCCATGTCGTGGTAGTTGTGGTTGTGGTCGTTCTTAAGATCGTGAAGAATGGATACCAAAACATCGATATCATCTTGCAATCCTAAGATATGTCTTTGTAGAAGGGCAATCTTTCTTGCCTGCTTTATGGTCTTTGCATTATCAAACTTTTCGATTGGTGTATGCTTGATTTGAGCTTTCTCCAAAATTTCCAATTCCCCTAAGAAGAATAATTACATCATTATAGTTTAATTAAACTGTTCTATATGACTACGTTTGAGCTTATGTTAGGCACACTTTACGTTTTAGGTTATCGAGATCTGCATACTTAAAATCAATTTCTTGTTGAATTACGGCCTTTTCTTGTAACCACCCTTCTGCAATAACTTCTGCTGCATCCAGTAGTTTTTGCTTTGCTAGAATTCCGACAGACTGTATATTGTTGAGTTCAGCCTGATACTTTTTAAATTCAATCGACACTTGTTTGCATATATTGGGACAAGATGTTAGGCCATTAAACTCATCTGATCCATCGCAACATGATTGATCTACATAATTGATATTTGAGTTAATGTATTACTCATATCAAAGCAACAACAACATCAATATCTAGAACAGCAGCACCAGCAACGACAACGACAACAGCACCAAAATCATAATATGTGTCACTGACCACAAACACCATCATTCACAGCAAAGGATTTAATATAAGCAGGGATATGATCCTTATTTTCGCAGTAAAACAAACTATTGGGACAAGCAGAGGTGCCTTTTTTTGTGTATATATTATATTTATTATTATTATTATTATATATTTGTTAAGAAAACAAAAATTCCAAAAGTTAGTTCTATTTGATTACTTATTCTTACAAGATCTTTTTCTTTTATTCTCGTATGACTTCTTGGTAAAGCCTATTTCCTACCTGGCTCATCAGAACCATCGGGACAGTCGCAATAATCATCGTTGATGGCAGAATAATGGATCGTTTTGCTTTTATCAAGGCATTTCCAGGTACTTTCACCGTTCTGGAGCAAAGGTGCGTACAAGTCGTAATCTTTTTGATTTGATTTGATTTAATTTTATTATTATTATTTTGGTCATTTATTTTTAAAATTTGTATTCGCATGGATAAGCTTTATATGGAAGCATTATAAAGACTATGTGCGCTGCCTCAAAGAAAGAGGTAATCTTACGTTCAGGAGAAATGCCTCTCATTGACGGATTAGCTCCTCTTACGAGCGTCACTGCTGCAAGAACGCAGGGTAATGACAGTAAGAGAGTAGATTTCACCATGATGATAAAAGTGTATCCCGAATGAATGCCTACAAAAGTAGAGTTAAGAGTTTGGCGTCGAGTGTAGTAATTCGGAGTTTCTGGGATCGGGAAATACAAGTGCGCTACATCCTTGACACGTACTGCACATAATTTTTACTCTAAAATTAAGTGGAGAGGGGATTCTTTTTTCTTATTTATTTATTTATTTTAAAGAAAAACTTGCACTATAAATTATACGAGACGATTACCAAAATAATTTTAGACAAATAAATATAGATATATTAGAGTGTGCAAACTCTTTTTGTAGATTCATACCAAAGAATATGGTATACAAAGTTGTGTATTTTAATTGCTAAAACTCGTTACTCGGAGGGGGTTTTTTTTTCTTTGAAGTATTTATGTATATTTAAGCTACTGGTCATGAGTACCTAAATTTTTAGTATTTTTTTTTGTAATGTAATTTATACTGTTTATTTGGTTGATCGTTATCTATATAACATATGTGCACTCCCTTGACTATATTGCTATCAAGCTCTACGACATAAGGATAGATCATATTGTTATTATATGGTTAATTATATTTTAATAACTGTGCCAAGCTATAGCAGCTGGCCCAAGTTAACAAGCATCGAGATATCTATTGTTATTTTTTCTCGTAAACACTAATAAAGCTGAATTATGCTCAACAAAAATCTATCTATGATGCAGTAGAAATTTATGCTGCATACTTAAATGGTATTCCCTTTTCCTTTTGGTGATAATATTGCATTTGTTCTTGAATACGGTTTTAACCAAAAAAAAAAAAACAAATTCGCCGTCTTGGAAGGTGAAATGAAAGCAAAAAATAAAATCTTCTACTAAACTACATTTTAGCCATGGTAAAGGTTATAACTAATCAATACAGAACAGTAAAAATGTTAATATCCTTAAGAAACATCAGTGCTTTTCTAAACAATCTTCTTAACTCGTCAGATATCGATAATCTCACAGTATCGATAAAATAAAGGTTTCATAAGTTAAAGAAGAATTCGAGAAGAGTAATAGACTCACCACTCATTTCACGTAATGGTATATAGAAAGCCGGAAGAAGGAACTTGCTATTAGCTGGTATTTGAAAGTGCCTGTTGCTTTATCTTTGCTGTCGAGATATATTTTATTGTATGCACAAAGTGGATACCCATAAGAAAAAAAAAAGACTTTCCTTTGTACCAACAGCCAAAGAACTATCGAAACAAGCTCAAGAAAATTTAAAAAGCTTTCTTCTCGCATTGCAAATAATCCATTGTCAACAAAAGCAAGTTTCTTGAATACCCGAAGCAAAAAACCCAAGTGAATCAAGTTCTACAAGATCATTATTTGAATAAAGACTTGGCTACTGAAAAACAAGATTCTGTAGCAATAAAAGCACAGCATAAATAGACAACGTAATTTATCTGTGATATTGAACAATATATATACACATTGTATTAAACAATATTATTAAGGTTGGTATAAGACGTCCAAAAACAATCATACTGTGTTATTTATATTAAGAAGATGGGATATTTACTTTGAGAAAGTAGTTATTCAAATCACAAATTTTGTGCGATTTTGGAAATACATTAAAATAAAGGAGTGCAGGTGTTGTATAAAGATATAGAAATATAAGTTTTGAGAATGTTGATGAAGAGAGAGATAGACAGTGTGTGTGTGTGGTGTGAAATATAGATAGACGGGTACTTCTTAATCAGCCTGAAGACTTCTAAGGAGTGCCTCTGCGGAAAGAGCCCCGGGTTGTGTTGATGTTGAGGGTCTCAAAGCAGGCATCACATCACTGTTATCTTGAACTTCTCGGCTGCGGCCAGCACGACGTGCGTGACGGGTTCTTACTTCTGATTCGCCAGTTCTTAACTTTGCAAGCAAGTTATCCATCATCTTGCGATCGTCTTCAGTACCGGTTGTTGCTTCTAGTAACAAACCACAGTAAGTTGATGAATTTTTGTTGATTGTATTCAAAGTTACCTTCACTGATATCAACGCCCTCTACTCTCTGTGGAGTATCAACCTTTCCGTCCGTGTTCTCAGCCAGCCTCTTGGCCTCTTTCTTAGCTTCCATGCGGGCTTTGTGTTCCTCATCCTCTCGCTTCTTCTTCTCTTCACGCTCCATTCTTTGAGTGTATTTCTCTTCTTGGATTGATGCCTCCTATTGATTTGAAAAAAATGACAATATATAAAAAACCGCTAAATATCTGCCATAAAGAACTCATATATATCCTTACCTTCCAGTTCTTTACAAATTCAGAGAATGTACTAAAGAAATCATCTGGGCGCATAACAGCAGGATTCTCTCCATAGAATACCATCACAGACTTCCATTTGGCATCCATGTTCAAGTAAAGCGTTTGGAGATCCTCAAAACGGTTGGCTGCTGCTTCCCTATGTTCGTTCATCACCGCCAAGAATCGATCACCTTCTTCCAGTTGAACACCTTCACCCTGCCATTTAGAGCCGAGCTCTACCTCGAGCTGTCTCAATGACATTCTCATCTCGGCATACTGCTGCGACATGTCATTGAAACTTGCCATAACTAAATAATTTTTTAATACATAATCGCAATTTTTCTTCTTCTTTTAATCAAATACTTACTACGCGCAGCTTGAGATGCATTCTTCAAATCATCCAAAAAGGTTAGGATGTGAGGGAATTCACGTCGGGTAACACCGGCAAGCACGTTCAGAAGCGACATCGAAGAAATATTCGACGCCTTTGTGTCTGCAAGCTAATGTACCGACAAACACAATACTATATTAAAAAACGTATAGTCTAGATTTTTCTCTCTACAATAGTAACTTGCCTTGTTGATACTACTGATACGCATACCAAATGCACCACCTTGTATACTAGATGCATTCATAAAATTACCCAAAAGTAAGATAAGCTACGAGAAAAAAAAACATAGGAAAACGTAAGTCAATGAATAGCTCACATCCATTTTAAATAAATAGAGGTTGATACATACACACAAAAGCTCCTTTAAGCTAGAAGAGTTCTTCAATGTGTCAGCTACTTCCAGAACAATAGTCATGTTCTACAATAAATCAGGCATAAGTATAGATGGATGAGTATGTTTTTAAAGCCGCAAAAAAAAGACATTCGTACAGTAGAAAGCTGATCGAATCGTTCCCAGAATTGAACACGGAAGAGCATAAATTGGACACGCTGCTCATAGCGGTACATTCTCATCATATTGATAGTAAACTGTTCTGGCAAGCCAAGTTCTTCCAACTTTTCGTCGGTTTCATTCATGTATTTCTGCATCAGAGTCAGGTTATCATCCTTATTGGGTATATATGAGTACATGTTGAGTAGAAGTGTTTCCGTGCATAATTCATCGTCCACAGCCAGAACACGTTCACGGACTTCCTTGTATGACGGGAAGACCTTGAGTCTAGGAAGAATTGCAAGATCTAAACCATTTATACATTTGTTTAACACCTGTTACAGTAATCATACACATTCTTATACTCACTGATGTTTCTGCTCTTGTCATCTGTCAAAAACTTAATCGCATCCTTCTTTTCTTCAGCAGACTTCTTTAAACGACGCTCAAAGAAGTTGTTAACCTTTGCAGGGAAGAGATCCTCGATTTTAGAGAATACACCAGATTTATCAAGGTGATCTTCCAAATGATTCTCATCGACATCACCAACAACCCAAATAGTCTTTTGGACACCTCTGGCATCCAATTTTTGCCACTGGAGATTCTTCAGTTTAACTTGAGGGTAGTGTCTAATCTCTTTACGCTGTGGACCTCCGGGAACACCAGGTATCATAGGACCTCTTAAGCCTACAAAGCATAAAATAAGATTAGACACACTTTATTTTGTTGGTTGGGGCCGAATAGATAAATAAAATGAATATTGTTTTTTTTCTTACCAGGTGGCGGAGGAGGGGGACCTCCAGGACCTCCAGGAGCTAATAGGAAAGTATCAAAAACTTTATGCATAAATAAAAAAATAGATACGTATTGATCATTTATCTACATACGTGGCGGGGGAGGTGTGCCACCAGGTGCTAAATAAAAGAATAAAGTAATATATATGAGTTGAAAATAGCTTTTCTTCTAACTCTCTCAATTACTGCTAATAATATGACAACATACGTGGGGGTGGGGGTGGAGGGCCACCAGGAATTCCAGGTGCTATAATAGTAATAGTAATATTAATGATATCAGTTAAATTAGTACTTTAGATCTTTCCAGAACAGCCGTGTTCACAATTTAGAGTAAGCAAACATACGGGGTGGTGGTGGTGGTGGACCTCCTGGAACTATAAAAGTAATGTATGTCAATAGGTTGTCCGACAATTACACTGAATAACAGGCTCAATATATTTACCAGGAGGAGGTGGTGGAGGAGGAGGTGGGCCGCCACCAGACACTACAAGTGTAAAAAAGAAGAAAGAAAGTGTGGTTTCCGAAGTAAATATATAAAAAATACCAATTCAAGCGTATTAGTTATTCAGACTTACTCGGTGGCGGGGGAGGTGGCGGGGGAGGTGGCGGGGGAGGAGGAGGACCGCCTCCAGACACTACAAATGTAAGAAAAAGGCGTGGTTTGTTAAGTAAATATATAAATGTACCAATTCAAGCTTATACGTTATTTGGACTTACTCGGTGGCGGAGGAGGAGGAGGAGGTGGTGGTGGAGGAGGAGGACCGCCACCAGACACTGCAAGTGTAAAAGAAAGAAACATGGTTTCCGAAGTAAATATATAAAAATGCCAATTCAAGTTTATTCGTTCTTTGTACTTACTGGGTGGCGGAGGAGGAGGAGGAGGTGGCGGGGGAAGAGCACCTCCAAGCACTATCAATAAAATAACAACACATGATAGATTAAATAAAAACATAATGATATACAAATAAAGATATTTGCGCACACTTACTTGGAGGAGGAGGAGGAGGAGGAGGAATGGTGCTATCAATTTGGGATTCGGCCGTAAGATTTTCTGGGGAGATATTGGAGACTTCTGTAACTGGAAGTTGCCCCGACACATTACTTCCTTGGCCGAATAATCCACCAGCACCAACACCGCCTGTCTGATGCGAGACTAAAGTATCATCAGAAATAATGGATGACTAGATTTGTTTTAACAATTAACATTATTATGTTAGAACAGTCAATGTCATTGTACAGATAATATTGGTAGTATCTACTAATGTTCTTACAGGTCTCTGTGAAGCAATCTTCCAATCATTCCCGAGAACAATACTTGGGGTAGGACTAGTTCCTGGGCTTTCCATATTTTCCAACATTTCGTTCTTTTCTTTAAGTTCTTCTTGAAGCATCGCAATTGTATTTCTGGATGTTCTTAGCAAAGCACGCAAGGATACATTTTCCATTTTGAGATTAAGCGATCCTATTTTATTATACATATACACGTAAATAACTAATGTATCTATATAATTCTCGTTATTAGCCTTACGTCTTGGACCAACTGTATCTTTTGCAATAGGTACTGGAGGCGAGACTGGGCCACTATTGTGTTGTTGTGATCGAAGGTACTCGTTTTCCAAACGTAACTCTTTGTTTTCAGCAGCAAGTCTGAGAAGTTGTTCTCTGCTACTTTCCGATTCCTCTTCTATCTCACGCATCCGATCGAGCTCGCTAAACTTTTGAATAAGGTTTCCCACAGATACTCCATAGGCATTGCTAAAGTTATCGGTTGAGATACCGCTTCTGCGATCCATAACCAACTGACTGACAAGCTCACTAATCATCTGATAAAAATAAACCCTTTTTTTATATAGAAGAAAATTTAGACACAGAGTGAAAATTGTTAAATATGGTTCAAAGTCATTAATCTTAACAAAGTGGCCCGACTTACTTGTTATCTGGATCTCCCTTGATCAAAAGAAGGCTTCTGAGGAGTGTCATCAAGAATTCAAGTGCCTTTGGTGCATCTTCAATACTTTCCAAGATAAGCTCCAGGAGTTCCTGCGGTTGTGATATATCAGAGTAAAGCGAGATTTCGTCACCGAATGCCTCTTCCATATCGTTTTCTGCCGAAGCCCTGTAAGTCTCGATTTGTACATTCAACAGGTGATAATCTAAGGCTTCAAGTTTCAAAAGAATTCTATCAATTCCGGATGCTCTGAGCTGATTCCTTAGAAATATACGGTCGTTGACGTCTGTTGGTACTTTGATCAATACATTTACAAGCATCATATTGGATAGCTGGATAACAAGTTCTTTGATCAATAAACCACGCTTTACATCTTATTATATCCTTTATTTAATGGATCGTTCACTAAGACACTTATTCTTACCGCATATTCCATTAAATGATTGTCTGGCGCATTGTAAACTCCAAGACGCTTAAAATCGTCGTTTGCTCCCACCAAAGACCCAAGTTTACCACGACCATCAACGGTTTTTTCGAGATCCTTCATCCAACCGTCAAATATACCCAGATCTTTACGATGTGCACTCAATGATTCGAAACCTTTAAGAACCTGTTCATGTCCCTTGGGAAGCTCACAATGACACAGGAAGAAGAGCATATCACAGATAAACTTTCGTGTTTGCCAATGTGGACATACAAGAGAATACACAATAGAATGGATGTAGGTTGGGTGACCAATTGTTTCTCTAATACCCCACTATTTTTCATAAGATAACCATTATGAGTCCCACGGTTTTTCACTTGTATATTATTTATGAACATACTCTCGTGTTGAGCAAGACTTTGATACACTTTGTAATTTCCACTTCAATATCAAGCAGCAGCTCTTTCCTACCGTGCTCATTAGCCTTTTATACTTATTACTTTAATATGAACTTACCTTTCTTCGTCTGGTTTATGATTTACGTATTTGAGTCCACCTATTACTGCACGTACACCCTCAAGATCAATAAACTTGACCACCCAGCTAAACAATGCAACCGATATAATAAGGATCACCGTGCCTTCTTCTGTGATGATCCAACTTACTCTATTGGACGTGATCTCAGGTTCACCTCTAGATGTGCAACCAAAGAGGGGGTGACACCACGCATATCAGGCTCCATAAATTTTCGGATAAAGTAATTCGGTGAACTGCGGTCCACTTGAGAGTTATCGTGAGATGATGGTGGCATAACAGATGATACAGTCGAATTACTGAGAGAAGGACCCAGAGGTGCGGGTCCACTAGTGCCTGATAATCGTCTAGAATGAGGCATTTGACTAGCTCTGTTCGAGTGTCTATCGATAGCACGGGAGCTAGCATCCACTGTAGCAGACCACATTTCGTTTGCTTTTTCAGCCAAGACATTCAAAAGAGGAGCGGGCGTGTTATCTTCAGCGTTAAAAGGTCTTGCTGAATATGCGTTTGATTCTGATTTACGATCCATGTTTATCATATTGAGTTTCTTTTCATAATCCCATGACTTCATATGCTCTACTATCTCTTCTTTGTGAATACCACGTCGAGACTATTAAAAACGGCCAAAAGTAATGTTTATAAGTCGTGAAACAGAAACAGCCCTCATACATATATGTCCTATTATATTTATTTATACTATACATACGATCAATTGGTCAAAAAGGGAATCGATTTGTTCGATGGTCAATTGAGTAGAATCATCACCGAGGTAAATTGGGCGATTGGAGCTGTCGACTGATGCTCTGTTTGAGGCATTAGCGCGAGAGGGTTCTACATAAGGACGAGGTACTGCAATGTAGTATGTTTAGACGTAGCACTAGATTTTTTTTTGTTAATTCTATTAGTGGTTCAATGGCAACTTACATGCTGAGTTGTATGAATTCCGATATTCTCCAGTCTGTCTGTTTTGGGATGGAGGAGATACTGGTCGTGAGGTTGATGGTGGAGATCCTGGCGGGTCAGAAGGAGGTTTCGCTTTCCTTCTTCCGAAGCTAAAGAAGTCGGACATACTCTAAATCAAGAGCTGAAATAGACAATTAAAAGGAAAAAAGAAGAAAGAAGAAAAAGGAAGAACAGGAAATAAAATAGAAAAACAAGGTAAAATAAAATAGAAGGTATCACTCACTCGCTCAACTTGCTCTGTCTATTTCTTCTTCTGGTACCTGGCTTCTGAAAATATGCGGCACTGAGAGCTTAGTTATCCCGATTCGTGCTCGCCCTTTATACTTTTTTATAGATTACACACCCGACAGAAAGCCACCTTGAGCTCTTTACTTCTTACATCACATAATTCAAGCTAAAAATCTTATTTACTCATATAGTTTTGCAGTTTATTTGACCTTTGTAAGGCATAGTAATATTTTGTAATGCAGGACTATGATCAAAGAAAAAGTAAAATTCACGTGGGATTAAATCCTCTTCAATTGTTGTGTATAATTTTAAGAATAAACAAACAGAGTCCAGGCAACTCTAACTGAGCCGAGATTTTTCTTTCTTTTTAAAAGCTGAAAATTTGAATGCCACTGGCTTGCCCCACTGGCTAAATCGCAAACATTTCGGTTGCGCCTTAAACAGGTCGATCTCTGAAATCAGAAACAAAATAGCTATTCGTTTTTCTTTTCATTTGATATGTCATTGGTCTAAAGACTAATTAATTTTATATGGAGGAGTAATGGTTGACACTAATTTTTTTTGACATTGAGTATTAAAGTCTGCTAATGTTCTATAAGAGTTATGGTATAGCAAACATTTGCTCATCATTTCGGCTTATGAGCCATTATTTTGACACTATCTTCAAGATTATTTTTAATCAACTTAGTTACACTCTTTTTAATGGCTTCAAATCCTTCCTGTTGGTCATTATCGAAAGCAGCTTTTTTTTTAAAAGAATAATAATGAATAAATAAATAAAGGCGCTTAAACTACTACTATGAACTAAAAAAAAGTCGACTTGAGATAGCCAAGCAAAAAATCCAAGAACACATCTGATCATCTTACCAGACCTTAAAATCATAACAGTTGTCACAGCCCTAAAAATAAATCCAGGAATCGGGTAAATCAATTAAGCTGAACACATAAATCGATATACTATTTTTTAAAGCTTTCATTGCATGATGTGCTTTTAACAAATGATGCAATACAACTTTGCAAGAGTGAATTGCAATCACCCAATACTATTTAGCTATTAAACAAAAAAAATAACAAATTATGTTTGAGATTAATAGATACAAGTGAGAGTATTGTGAATAAAACAACAGAAAAATTGTAAGCACAAATATATTAATCACACAATCCCTCGTTTGCAGGAATACAAAAAGATTGCTAATTTGATTTTCAATCAGTAATAATAACAGATTCTATTAAACTACCTAAAGAAGCAAAGGCGACATCTTTTTTTGAGAAAAAATATGACAAGATGCATTCAATGAGGATTTAGCATTACAAAGCATCACTTACACAAAAATGAATCTCCAAACTTTAAAAGACAAAATAGTACAATCCTGGGTAAATCTATCTCTACCCAAAATAAGTTTCAAGACACCCCTTTGACTCAATATTTGGTTCTAAAACAAGAGAAGTAAATGTCTTATAGTATGTGTATATATCTGTGTATATGGAACTTGTTTGAAGCCAAGAATAATAAAATCTAACAAGTTAATTCGGCCATTCACAAATCATTCATATTCTTTTATTATATTCTGAGATACTATATTTTTGCCACTTTATTAAATAAATGAGCCGCTTTAAACTCTAGGCAAAACAATTGTAGTATTTAATGATAATCTAAAGTTAAAAGGTAAGGCAAAGAAAGAGGAGTGGCTTGTTATGAGCAAGAGTGGTCCATTAGATACACAATACATCCAATCGTATTTCCATTGTCTTTTTTTGTTTGCTATTGTTATATGAATACAACATTTAATTTGTGAGCAAAAGAATGGAGAAGGCATAATATTGTACTCCAGTAATTACGTTAATGTGCACAAGATTGCCACAAAGTACAACGTAATACAGTGCAATTTAACATTAAATACTCAAGCTCACCACTTACATGATTTAGTAACATACTTCTCTCCATCACACTCCTTTACTGTTTGGTTCTAGATGGCCGGCGAATTTAAGCGAGAAAGCCTATTTCAAAAGGGCCCCAAGTGGAAACGAGAGCATGTAGCAGATTACAAATTCGATTTTGTTGACGTTGATGAATTTCATGATCCAGGATGGTGGATGGCATTCAAATTTATTATACTCTATTTCTCTATAGCCATGTCGACACTTGTATATTGTGCTGAACTATGGACAGCTGGAATTTTGTTGATTTACGACGTTAGTATTATAAGCAGCCGTTATCTTCGCATTGTAGAGCACACACCAACAATTCATAAACCTTTCCTTAGAAATGGTCACTTTCAACACAACCTTTGATTCGATTCGAAATTAGTAAATGGATCTATGTTGGTTGTATTATACTCTCGTTCTTGCTTCTGGCCTGGGAAATCCGCAAAGCTAGAAATATCATTCGCTCTCGAAACATTTCGTACGCAGCTACAAACGTAATGGCTTCTCGCTTCTACTCGATGAAGAGCTACTCCCATTTTTGCCTATTTCAAACGATTCATTCCTCAAGAAAAATAACGGATTACATGGCATTTTTTGTGTTCTTTACTCTAAAGGGTAAGTGTATTAAATATGAGTTATTTAACAGGCAAGACAAACAATTAATTAATCGATAAATATATAAATAAATTGTATACATATTAATAATTTACTAGGCTGGAAACGTCTGCTATTTGCACAAAGCCCTCGACAAATTATTGCTGGAATTACAGTATACGCTCTACTAAAGTCGGCTTGGACAAATAAACAAAGTATGTTTGAATATAATGCTTTTTTTATGAATCTAACTCATATATACAATAGATAACTTTGAATTCACTACAAATTGGGATGCATATGGAGAAGATTGGTCTCAGCGCGTGGCGCTCTTGCTGATGAGCTTTACTTGTATTTTATGGTGTCTATCAATACTCTCTTTTGTATTAGGATGCTTTCTGTATCTGCCAATTCTCTGTCACATTCAAGGAAATCTAAAGGAATATTGCTGTCACAAGATTGACAAACGGTAAATTTGATTTCCTTTCACATCTTAAAATATTAAAGATATAATATATATATATATATATATATATATATATATCAATGCTTTTCTAAATGATATATAAATTAAAATATATATAGCATTTCCGAGATCCTGGAGAGACAACGAAAAAGACGAATCAAAGAACTAGAAAGAAAGGAAGCAGCGATTAATGATCAAAATACAAGAAAGAACAACGCTAGTAATCTGAAAAGAGAAAATCTTAACCGTACTGCTACTCTGCCAACTCTTCCCAAGGTAGACGACAGTGATCTTTACTGCGACAAAGCCCCTTTATTCCCTCGACAAAATACATTTCACAGCGAAACCTCGGTACCAATGTCTGGATCTACAGCCGTTAATCTCAATTATCAACCCTCTGTCTATTCAAGATCTGATACGTACCAAGCCTCTTATAAACAGCACAGTGAGCCCGCAACACCGATGTTAAGCCAACGTGGATATTATGATAGTGATATACCACCAGTACCACAACGAGCATACACCCAACCGATGGCTGACACGTGCTTTTTTCAAAATGATCAATATCAGCAAAATATAATTGATAGTTACTCTACTCAACATACCGCGGGGCAAGCACAAATGCCTAACCAGTACACATCTACAGAGTACTCTACTCAGCCTGGATCCTATTTTGAGCCTTCCAATTACTATTCTTCTATACAGCCTATAGAATCTCAGCAAGGAAGACCATCGTCCACTACTATCAATAATGCAATGTCTAGTTCCCCTACGCTGCACCATGAGAATCCTTACAACTATAATTCTACTTCTACCGGTGGGCCCGGACGCCCTTATTGAAATATCTAGAGTAGTAAATTGTTGACCAATAAACTCATCTTACATATTTATCACGAGTACATATTAATATTTTCTTTATTAAAGTAATTGTTTGTATTTAAAAGCAAATAGTAACGCATTATTTCATAGCCTTAATAGGCAGAGGTACTACTGTATCTAATTTCTTACGTTCAGTGTTTTGTGGAAAAGGATTAAAGTAGTCAATGAGGCGAAGGATATCTGGGTATACAATTGTTTCAATATCTTCAGCCCACAAAAAGTCCAAATGTTCCCACGATTTGATAGATTTGACATAGACCAAAGGACTTGGTAGATCTGCGGCCAGAACATTAAAATCAACCAGAGAATCGGACCGACCGTAGAAGATAGCAATGGGAGTTGTGATTTGGTTGGTTGGGAACTTTGGAGGGACATGGTCCATAACTGCGTTAACAGTATGATAAGGCAGACGACTAGGCATCTCATCATACATTTGAAAGCGTCCAACTCTGATGATTTGGAACCAGTGCTATTTGAACAGGTAAAATTGTTTGTTTGTTTTTATGTTCGTTTGTACAAACTAAACGGAAGCAACTTACCACCAAGGATTTTACGCTAGTTAGACTGTAAAGATGCTGGTAGCTAACTAGTTTTTGATCAGCCGTCATGTTCTTGCCTGTCCATCCGAACAAAAACCCAACACTTCCGTCAATCAGTTTGACAAACATAGGTGGACTAATAATTCTTTGCCAGAATAAAGCCAGCTTAAGAGGTGTCTTGCGTCCAAATAGAAGGTATATAACAGAAGGAGTTGCTTTAACAAATGTATCTATCAAGGGGTGTCGGAGTCCTTTTGGGGCAGTAGCAGGGGCAAGAGCGATGAACAAGTTAATTTTTTGATTTAGCTTTGGATTTACAGATAATCCAGCAAAAGCCTGTGCAGTGCCTTGGGAAAATCCAATATAGGTAAGATTTGGAGCACCGGTAATCTTGAGGATATACTTGAAAAAAGAAGGGAAATAATCAGGTTGTTATATAATTAAAGAAGAAGAAGAAACTACTTGAATATGACTTCATTCCACTCACATCCACTACATCAGGAAGATCGATCATTGCAAATTCATTGATAGAAAACTCCCAGAATTGCTGGTGTCTTGGATTCAATTTGAGATGATTTTGGCTGTACTTATTACCGCGTGCATTACCCAGCCAGACATCATATCCTTGTTGGGCAAGCAACAGAGGTAAATTTCGATACTCATCCACATTGCAGACCCAGACTTCCGAAGACATCAAGAATCCATGATACAACAGTACAACTGGTTTTCCCGAAAAGTTCGAGTTGGTCTTTTGTTGCTTAAACTCGTTAATGTGGTCGATAATCTCGATGCCTTTACTATTCTCATCGCAAAATGATCTAAAAACGTCTTTGTCTTTAAACTTATCGGCAGATTGAACTACAGCTGGGATTCGATGGACACAGAGAAGGTAGTCGTCTTGAGTGCGTACTAGATGTTGTTCACACATATAATTCTTCCTAAAGAATATGCATAAAGCAAAATAAGAATAGTAAAAATATTGGGGTAAGGTTTGAAAATAGACAGTCTTGCTTGTACAGCCAAACATTTACCATATCAACATCATCTTCTCAAACGACTCTGCCTTTTCAAGTGGACTCACGTGTGGGTCAGAATCAAGTTTAGATAGCCAAGGGAATGTACTATTAGCATATATTGACATGGTTAAAAAGAAGAAAAAAAAAGTTTTGGTTAATGGACATTCTTTATAAGTCTGTTCAAACTCTACCTATCAATGAATGCATCGATGAGGTTAATGACAAACTTTGGCAAAAATGTTACAATCACTCGAATGACATTTTCAAATCCGAAAAAGAACACTGTTAGAATTAGACTAAAAGACAAAGGTGAGTTGCTTTTCAATATAATTTCATTCAATATACCCTTGGTAGTCTCTAAATGTCAGCCTATCGAGAATGGGTATTGAGAATAGCATGACGAAGGAAGAAAAGGATAAACAAGTTTATTAGAATTAATGGCATTTATAGATATAAAGGAAAATTATCACATTTCAATTTATTTATTTATTTTATTTTATTTTATTTTTTAATTTTTAATTTTTAATTTTTGAAACAAAAATAAAATAAAATAAAATAAAACAATAATAAGAAACTTTATTTTCCATTTTTAGTTTGGAGGTTTTGGTTTATCATAAGTGAGAATTAAGGTGAATGTGCAAGAGCAAATAAAGACGATGAAAGCAAGTAAACGACGAATCCATACCAGCATATTCACCTTTTAAAGTTCTATATCTATAGGCAGTGATTGTATAGCTATCTTTCCTTAAAGAAAGGCTAGAGAAAGTGAGCGTATTCATAAAGTTAGCTCCAGTTATCCTCATTGGACTGACTGGTAGAATTATTCCATGAGCTATTTATGCTGTTTTCTGAAGTATTATCCCATGTGTTTCCTGACTCAAAGTCTTGTTCGTCTATTTCTGACTGTTGTTGAAGGTTTCTTACGGGTCTATCCCATGAATCTTCAGAAGTTTCTTCCCAAGTATCGTCAACAATGTTATTGTAACCATCGTCAGTCGATTCTCCCAAGGGTTTATCAGGGGTTATATCCCAATCGTCATCAGAGATAGGCTCCTCCAAAGGCTCTCCCTCAAAGGTATTCAGTACTTTGAGATACGATGGATCATTAATATCAATATTCAACCATCTACGACTTGTATTCTCTTCAACTTTTGTCAGTCGGTCGACCAGGTCTTTCTCAGTAAGTGTCTCCCAGTTAATATCTCCAAGAGGGTCATCATCTTGAACCTCCTCATCACTGTCACTGTCGTTTTCATAGTCATCATGCCCATTGCCTGCATATTTTGCTTTGATCTTGGCTGCCGTAGCTGTTGTTGTTGGTGGCACAAGAGCAGGTGCATCCCACCCGTCTTCCACTACTACAGGAGCTTCAACCTTAAACTCTTGTTCTAGCTCTTCATGATAGAGCTTGTTGATTTCTGCTGCCAACAGACGCGGAGAGATAGGTTCGTTTGGTGAAGGTATAGGTGTTCCAATGGCCCAAGCATCGCGATTATCCGTCTCAATTTCGTCAGTTGATTCCAGTTCTTCTTCTACCCAGCGATAGCATGTTTCCTTAAAATCAGGCGCCAGATCAACCTCTGTCATTGATATGGGTGCATCGAGATTATAATCTTCCCGATCCCCTCGTATTCTGGTCATGCTAAAAGTTCCACCCTCAGTGTTACTGTAATCGTCTGCAGGTGGGAGCATTTCAGGCAAATAATGTTGCCCATGATATAGTTGAATTAACACTCTCAAATGCTTTTCTTGTGCCTTTTTTTATAGAAAGTATTTATATTATAGTCAGCATTTATCTTGCTTCAGATTTATCTTACGGCTGTATAGACTTACATCGGCAGCTTCTAATTCTTTTTCAGAGTCAACAGTCACCAACCAGTCATCCCGAAGTAAAGGCTGACAGCGCATATAAATGGCAGATACAATCTTCATATTTACTATAGATAAAAGAAAAGGTAATTATTGAGTGCGCATGATTCCTCTGAGAAACTTACAATATCGCCATCTACGGCCGAGGAATCGTGTTTGACTTTGAATGATCTTTAGTGTGTATAGCTCCGTGGTAGGGTTCTTTATTTTTAAGATACGCTTGAGAATCGCCTAGACCACTGTAGTATTAGACAAAACCCTGCTATATTCTCATTCAAATTACTTGCAGAAGACTTGTATTGGATCAATAATAAAATGCGTGCTGTCTTGCGCTTAGATAGAATTTGAAGAATCCTTAAAAGATTGATGGTCCAAAACATGTTTCTCTTATTGGTAAAAGCGACATCATCCGTTTGTTCATCTTTCTTTGGTAATCCTAGATGAGTCAAGAGGCTAATACAGAATGTTAGCCAGATATATTCTTTCTTTGTATAAACATTTTATATACTTTATAGTATATTTACCTGTATTTATCCACATCTGAAATAGTCGCCACCACAGAAGTAATCTCTTGTAAGCCAAGGATCTTTAGGATGAGCAACATACTTCCGGAATCGACCAAAAGTTGGGAAAAGTACTCGTATTTCAAAACATCTAGTTGTGTTCTTAACTCTCTAGATCCAGAATGGCAACATGTTTTTAAGAATTTTGGTGAACTTACGAGACGCTTTAAACCATTTTAACAGTAACCACAAAGTAGCCGACACTGACTTTGCTGTGATTTCTTTATCACGGAACATGTCTGCTTCTTCAATTGTAAGAGATTCTGAACGCTCTCCTGTTTTGGCCGGGTTGATTGATAAAAGCAACAGCTTTAAAAATACAATAACTATAGTTTGCAAATGAGGGACTATATATCTCTATAAGAATTAATGAAAAACATATTAATGAAAAAAAAAGTATTACACACTATAGATTAATAAATAAATAACTTATGGTCTACTTACATAAACTGTCTCCACTCTATCCTCCACAGTTTCATCTGAGGGTTCATTGACAGTCTCCCTATTAGATGACCCATCCTTTAATGATTTTAGTGTCTGCCATCGATTGATTGCTTCTTCACGTTCGTGAATCATCTGATAATCCGCCAAGGATATATGTAGATTAGCGAGATAGATCTCACCAGCATCCTTTAGACTTTTTGGGAAGCTAGGACCATTTTCTGTCACAGGGAGGACTACGGTAGTAAGCTCTTTTGGCATTGGTTGTTTTTGTATTGGTTGTTCTGATGATCCTTCTTGATTTTCTGTTTGAGATACTTGATTTTGTTTGGGAGGAAAGAGAGTTTGGTACGGTAAATCAGTTTGATTGATGGCTGTACTAATACCCATAGCTTCAGATAGTTCTGGGGTGGTTTTGATAGACCGTGGATTGGAAATAATATCGGGAACTTCAGGTGTCGAGAAGGCTGAATACTTTTCGATCATATCCTCTTGAAACAGATAAAAGTCCTCTGGATAACATTTAGTTACAGGGTCTAAACAAAAGAATAAATATAGAAAATAAATAAATACAAGTTATAAAATGCTACTATATAATTATACTTTCCACGACCATCTCGAGAAAGTCCATATCGCTCTCTTGCTCTTTCCCTCGTTTGCTTAAGTTTTTTAGATCCACCAAAGTAAATAAGCACTGTTTTCCATAAAAGAAGCACTAGCTAACGAGATATGTTAGGAAGAATCTGCTACAGAAAATATTATGTACCTTTTTCACTAGCGATGAACGAATATACTTTTCTTTCAAGGTTGTAATCTCACTGAAGAGAAACTCGATGAATCCAGAGTCCAGTTTCACTAATAAACCCAATATGCATGTTTATTTGGTTTAATAAATATTTTGGATATTTTTCCATAAATAATTAGATTACCTTTTCCATCTGAGAACAGCCCTTTTTGACGACAATACTCGATCAGGATATAGAGCAGAGATTGTAGCTGGTTAACCTCCTTGATAGTATTTTCTAGAGTGATTTGATCCACCTTTCCCTGACTTTTGATTTTGATTAAGTTTAGGCCAAATACATGGCTCATAGGTTTATTGACATACTCAAGTGTGTGTAAAGAAGCATAACTGCGTTTCAATGCTTGAAAAAAAACCGTCATTGCTCCAGTTTTGCATAACAATGAAAATGTCATTTCCCCTTTTATGTCTCCTGTAAATTAGTCATATCAGTAAAATAATCATAAAATATGATCCATTGCTAATTTTCCGACCTAAAGAGATCAATAGGAGCTTCTTCAAGGCAATTAGGCGCTGGTCTTGTTCTGTGTATTCAAGCTGGTTAAGCAAATCTTTAACCTCGTCTTCACGTTCATTTGCATCTTTTTTCTTCCACACTAGAAAGAAAGATCAATAGAATAAATTACACTATGTCGTAGCTTGTATCTAAAGTTTAATTATTGTTGCTTTTTTTACATGGTCCATGTGAATCTATAGAATCGTGTCGACATGCTTGTAGATCTGAAGCTACCTCTCCATAGCTAAAGAACTCATCGATCTCTAGATAAAACTCTTCTGTGTCGTGATATTCATACGGGTGAACTTGCTAGAGTACCAAATAATAAATAAATAAGATAACAGGGCAAGCGAGACAAGAGTCGACTAGAAATTATACCTTAGTCTTGGTGGAGAGCGCTTTGGCCATCTGCTTTAGATAGTCTGGAGAAATTAAAGGATCCTGCATCTTTTGGTCATTTGAGACCTGTTCATTAGACATGCGACAAGAATCTATAGCGTTTTATTCAGTCTCATTGCTCTCTACATGTATATTCTTTGGCATTTTGGTTTACTTTTGGGTTGCGGACAAGGGGATAAGTAATATAAACTCGACCAGACGTGACTTTTGGAAATCTTCGCGTCCCAGAACTTATCTCAAAGGGAAGAAATACCATTTTTGTGTTGGCAATTCTTCACTTTAACTAGATCTCTTCATCCAACATGGAAAATCTTCCGCCTGGTGTACCACATGATCCTCAACAAATGAATGAAACTACTGATAACTCCCAGATCGCCAATATTTCTGAAATGATCCGCACTTGTAAGATGTACAACCCATTTAAGGATGTAAAGAATTCTGACCATTTATTTATTTTTCAGTGCGTGTGCCCGATACATCAGTCTCAAAAGAGGTATATCATTCAAAACATAATAGTAAAAAAAATAAAAAAGCAAGAAAATAACAACTAATTCTTATATTTATATCTTTTGAATGACTTGCCTTTACTATCATGTAGCTGTCAGGATTTCTCGAGAATGGGAAACTCAATTATATTGAGCCAAGGATACGATTCGAAAACCATCCGAGTATTAATGAATGTACACATCCGTTCATTTCCTTTACAATGGCTAGCAATTATAGTTTAATTCATTCATTCGACAATTTCTTAATGATCACTTTTCTATATAGATATTATGAAGTTTCGAAATATGAGATCTATAGTCGAGGCCAGTCCTGTACTCCTACAAAAGCTTCCCGAAATTGAACACGGGTATCGAGATCTAATTGCTGCCTTGGTACAAGAAAGGTATACGTAATTTCTTTTTGTATTAATCACCTTAACACAGACCTACTGATAAAACCAGATAATATCCATCTATTAGTGACGAAAAGATAAATCTTCTTTCTGTTCGTATCAATTCAATGCTGTCCCCTTGGATAAGAAAAGAAAATGGTAGGCAATATCTCTTTTTTCTAACTTTTCCCTCATCTTTATCCCCCCTATTTTTAATTTATAAATATTGTATGAAAAATAAATAAATAAAAAAAAGTGCTTTAACAATTTTATATGATTTTATTAGCTGTAGATTATTTCTCGGAGCTTATTGAACGAACAATCAGAGCAGTAGCACATCGAGAAAGATATGGTGTGAAACACAGTGCTATCACTTCAATTGAAGGTGCACCTATCTCAGTTCCCAATGTAAATATTTAATACAAATGGGTTTTTTTTTGGTTTTTTTTTGGTTTTTTTAAAAAATTATAAAATCTTGTTATGTTTTTAGCATTTAGCGTTCAGTCGATGGGAAATAAATGATATTTCAAACTTCCCTCTAGATTTACAACAAGTTATTGAAGCAAGAAGATCAGAAAGAAGAAAGGTAATATATATATATATATATATATAACCAACTTTGAAAGGGACATGATCTAAATTGTTGTCTTAAGATGTCCGAGTCTGTTACAGAGATATTTTCGAGTCTTTCCCAGGAACAGAAGCTTAGTATACTAAGCACAAAACCACGAAGAACTCAAACAAAAGCTCCAGTCGATACACAAGTAATCTGATATATAAAACAAATATAGGGCTTTCTAACCTAGGAACTAAATTTTTTAGATGAGCGAAGAGCTTCGAAAGGCTGTGGAGGAAAATGAGCAAGAAAAAGAGGAGAAGAGAAAGAAAAAGGTATAAAAGAAATAATATATAGAACTTCATTTATTTTTTCTTTAAAAAAAGTACTATTGAAAATTGTGGATAGCTATTCTAATATTGCGTTCGTATTTAGGAGGAAGAAAAAATCAGACGTGATGAAGAAAAGAGACTTCGGGAAGAAGAACGTAAAAAGCGAGAGGAAGAAAAGAAATCCCGCGACGAGGAACGAAAAAAGCGAGAAGAGGAAAAAAAGCAACGAGATGAAGAACGCAAGAAGAAGGAACAAGTAAGTCCTGCCGCTTTTTACTTTAGGAACGAAGAAAATAAAGAAAGGCCAATTTATAAGAATCAAGGAAGCTATAAACTAACTCATAGCCTCTATCAATGTAGTCTCAACTTCGGTTAACATCTTTATTTACAAAGCCCAAAGAAGAAAAACCAACAGGAACACTTTTATACGACTCTGGTAAATTGATCTTCTTTTGTCTTGACTTTGATTGCATGATATTTAAAATACCTTTCTCTCTCTCCTCGAAATAGCAATGACACCAAAATCTACACTATTTCAACCTTTCTTTGTCAAGGAATTTACAACAATGTCTGTTCCAAATCCTACGATAAAGCAAAGCGATAAATTTGAAGAAGTTCTGAAAGGCTATTCAACTATCCTGACCTCAAGTCCTCCTAATGGTAAGTCCCTGTTCTTTAAATAATAATAACAACAATTTATACTTACTCTATAAATCTATCTTAGAGTCTGTAGGTGTCCGCGAGCGGTTTAGAAATGAGTTAAAAAGTCGTGGGCCCAAGACTTCAAAGAAGAGAGGTGTTCAGCGAAAAATTAATTTGCGTACGGTTTGGCTTGGCCCTGGATTATCTGGCGCCAATGCTGATTTCCTAAACAATCAAAGTTTAAATTCACTCGTAAAGATGAAGCTTCTTCATTTCCCAGAAGATGTACGGCCAGCTTACTATGGTAATAATTAAACATTATATAATTATATATAAGGATGTATATATAAAAATATATCTCACTTTAGGTACATGGACAAAGTCAAGCCAGAGCATTTCCGGAAGGACCCCATTCGCAAGAGACGAAAAGCTGGTTGATTATGAGCATGATAGCGAGGCTGAGTGGGAGCCAGAAGGCGAAGGTGAAGACATTCAGAGTGGAGACGAAGACGAGGAAGATTTTGGTGCAGATACAGTAGATCCAGAAGACGTAAGTACTACTTCTTGAAATTAATTACGTATGTAATCTCAAGTATCGTATTTAAATATTTACTTTTAGGCAAGTTGGCTGGTTCCTGAAGGATATGTATCTGATAGTGAACGTATTAACAGCGATGAAGAAGATGGATATAGCGAGCAAGAAAGCAAAGGCACAGGACATAGTTTACCATTACGTCCACCTACAAGAAAGGTAAGCTATACTATTGATAATATGTAAAACTCATTGTTATATTTTTCTAGAATATGGCTTCTGGTAAAAAGATCATCGGTCCATACTTTGAAAATGACTCGGATACATCTGATGAAGAAACATTAAGGCCATACAAAACCAAAATGTGTATAGGTATGCTTATTTAGTTATTTAGGAAATGTTATTCATTGTTTTATACCTTACTCACCTCATATTCTTTTCTCTTTTTTTTGTGATAAAAGATGTCGAAGAAGGGTATGATCCATTTGCTGTATTAGATGGTACCAATTCATCCAATGGTGCGAAGACTTCGTCGTTTGTAAAAGAACACACTGATGCATTGATTAGCGTAAGTATATATACATACATTATACCTTTTTTGTATAATGGAAAACACCATATTGAAATCTTTGTTGGTATTTAGGTTATCCTAAGCAAACCGGGTAATATGAAGCTGTTGGTATCGGAAGCAAAGTCACATGAGTAAGTCTATCTAGAGTAAAAAGTAATATCTCTCTTTAACATAAAATTTTATAGAGCGTTAAAAGATATTTCACGGCGACATATTGAATCAAAGATCAAAGAAATCGCAGTAAAAGAAAAGCGAGGCAAAGATACTGTAAGTAAAATGATTTATTATATTATATATCACTAACATTGCTTTACATATATATATATATATATATTACTGCACTCGATAATATAGAAAGCTATTTGGCATATCAAATAAAGATTTCGCTATTATATATATATATATTACTTGTACAATATTCATAAAGCTTAATTCTCAAGTACTTTATATAAAATAGCAAAATTTGCTGTTAGTACCATTTTCTCTCTCAATTCACCCATTCTTCTAAGCAAAAATTTATTGAATTACTATATTTGATTAAGTAGAATACACTCGTGGTAAAGATCAATTTTTTATACATGTTTATAGCGTCTCTTTAGATCTTTTTTTTTTATTCAATTTAAATCATATCAATCATATACATCATATTATATATACATACCTCCTAGATACTTCCACACACAAATAGAAGCTTTATTATACTGAGTGGGTATGCATAAAAGTCTATATTATTCTTGACACCACTATATGCTAAATGATCACAAAGCCTACCATGCATACAATGCGAGAGATTTTTGGGACATACATCTTTACTGTCGGACATTTAAACAGCATCTTTTTGTGGTGTAAATATCGATATTGTCATTTTTAAACCTATTGATATCTCTATGAATATTGGTTTGTTGGTGGTCAGACAAGCACTGGACACCATCAACTGGCTTTTTATACAGCTGTACTTAGTAGAAAAAGAACAAAATTTCCCAACTTTTTTTGAGGTGTACGTCTTGAGAAAAATGGTCATCAAAATGGACTTTTTGGTGCAAATAGCCAAGAATTCATTAGTAAATAGTTTTTATAGAGTGAAAAAATGAGATGTTTTGACCAATATTAAAACAATCAATGTCAAACAAAATTAAAATGGTGGAACGGCGTATAATGCACCATGTCACTTATTTGTAAGGAAGTACTTTACTTAGCAGATATGGATTTATGACTGATTTTCTGTCTTTAATCCGTCATTTTGATCAAAAGGATCCTTTTCAGTAACCAATTTTTCACTTCCGTGGTAAATTAAACAGCTTTCAAAGTATAATACATAAAATTAAAGCAAAGATGCTTTCATTGACGTTACTGTTAAATGATAATAAATAAGACATGTTTATACTTATTATTTATAAATCGATAGTGCATATATTTAAATTCCTTGACAGTGCTTTTGTTGATTGCCATTATATTTCCAGTTATCCTCATTCGAACTTCGTAAAGACCAATAATCTTGCATCTACAAAATTTAAAAGCTTTTTGTGCGATTTATCAGGACGGGCATCGTGTATATTTGCCATGCTTTTTACGACCGTAATTGGCTTGAGGCGACAAAGAAAAGTAAAAGAATATAAAAGGAGACAATGATTCTAGGCAATAAAAAAAATTAAGGAAAATAGGCATTAAAATTTTACATATACACATTTCTAACATAAGTTCAGGCTAAATTCCCTCTTTTTTCCTTGTCTTTCTCTCTTTCTTTCTTTCTTTATAATAACGGCTTTGAAAATGATCCTTGTTTTTGAAACATACCATACTATTCTGGCCAATCACAAAAGAAAAGAGATGTTACACACATGGATTTGCATTTTGCTTCATTTGGTAGGAAATGTGACTTTTGTGGCCAGCATTATCGGGCGACTAAAATAACTCAAAAGAGCAAAATCACCGACAGTGAAATGCGCCATGCAAGCTTGGTGCGAGTCACGTCTCCAGATGACGTACCAAAGGAGTGGAAGCAAAGAGTGTGAACAAGAGTGTACCTAGGACGTGTACACTCGTTTCTTGCCCCTTTTACTAACTTATCATGAGTCTCTTTCCTGCAACCCAAAGACCATCTCACCTGGTACAGTTTAATGCCGGAAAGTGCATACGCGAAGGGAACATGCTGAAGCCTGACATTCGTAAAGGGTAAACTGAAAAGAGTGAATTGTGACAAAAAGACAATCGTAGTTAACTTTGGGTATCTTTAGCATGATTTATATGGACCAGGTCGGTATTCAATTGAAAAACTTGACTTCAAGAGCAAAGTCATATATCTAAGGCTCTAAATGACTCTAACAACGTTATGACATGTGTGCATATGTAACTATATGTCTATATACATATATGTAGAGTGACGACCAGTTGATGCATTTTTATTGGAAGGAGCGCAAGTCTAGCTCTCCTGAGGATGTAATAATATATATATACACTTTCACATTTATATGCACGGCTTAATTGATTGTGTGGTATTGATGAATAGGATTTAATCATCTTTCCTGATGAAGCTGAATTGATCAGAGTTCAAGAGTGTACAACTGGACGTGTCTACCTTTTAAAATTCAAATCATCCAACCAAAAGCTCTTTTTCTGGATGCAGAGCAAGGATCAGACAAAGGATGAGGATGTAGTATCCCGCGTGAACCAATTGATTAACGATCCCCACAGCTCAATGGATGAAGGGCGTAGTCCTTTGTCATCCACCATGGACCTTAACGGTGATACTCCATCCGAATTAATGCGTATACTAGGAAATGAAGGTCAGGGTGAGTTGTGTATACCCACTGAGAGTATTAGTATATGTTCTAGATTCTCTTTTCGCTTTGGCCGTTATCTTTTTCCAGAGTTTTTCTTATTCATTATATATATATATATATGAATGAAACTACAGACAATATTTTGCAATATCTTCAAACAGCGGGTGGTTATGGGTATGATCGATGCACATTATCTTTATAATACCAATAGCTCAGAATCATTAACTTTTGCAACTATTCTCTTAGGGGAACTGTGCCTGTAACATCCAACTCGGGAGGAGACGGACCTGTTGATAATCCTCCTTACTTATTTCCAGAATCCCAACCTAGCCAAGCCGAATCAGAGCAGGCATCCCAAAACACAGAAAATACCAATCAGCCAACAGCTGCTCAGCCCGAAGCTTTGGAACAACTCAGATCAATGCTGGCAAATGTACAACAGTCTTCAGGTACACACAAGTAGCTATTGTTATTATTTAATTTTGCGTATATAAATTCAATATGTTTTTCTATAACCAATAGGATCCCAAAACCCGCCTATTCAGCTGAACGATGTGCTGACTCCACAGGCTATCAGACCCTTGTTGAATGATCCTGAAATCAGCCGCAGTCTTTTTCCTTTCTTGCCGGATAATGCTGAACACTCGGAAGAAGAGGTGCGTCAGGTAGTTCAAAGCCCTCAGTTTCAACAAGCGCTTCAGTCCTTGAGTGCAGCAATTCAGAGCGGTCAACTTGGACCACTGTTGAGCCAACTCGGGTTGGACCCTTCTGCCGGACAATGTAAGTACTTATAATAAAGAGAGAACATAGTGTATTACAGTTCTAATCACAGTATCATGTTTTTTTATTTGTATAGCTGTTGAGGCTTTCCTGAGAGCAATCGAAAAACAAGCACGAGATAGAGAAAGAGATGGTGGGGAACCAATGGAGGAGTAATTTGCTTGTTTTCTGCTATCTATATAAGAGAAACTTTATGAAATGATAAATAAAGAAGAAAACAACAGATCAGGTTTTTACTGTTTTGCTTCTCGATCTTCCTTTTCTTTCACTCAAAAAAATGTATATAGATACATGTTCATATCTATAAAAGAACCTGATATTTAACAAAACGTATTATTTGGTATAGTATATGTACTGTTTTAATTAGCCATTTGATACCTCAGTAGTAATATTACGTTAACATTTGCGAGAAATTGCATTTACATTTTATTCTTATATAATCAATGTGGCGTGTACAAGCTGTATACGTCTACTTTAGTTTAATCTTAAATAGCTGTAATATCAAATTATATTAGTTGTTTGGGGTAATTATGCTACTACGATAAATTGTCATACTGCCTTGAGATTAGTGTAGTCCTTACGTGTTCAAGATGTACACAAAATGTAGAACATTTAGGCTGTGTACTGATGTAAGTCTAAAATGTGGGTAGAATAGCATATTCAATTACATACTATTTGACCTCACAAAGCACTGCAAATACCTGTGTTTGAATAAACCTATGGTAACCCAATTGTTTTTTGTGCTTAAAAGGCTTTGTCGTCCCTAAAATGAATTTATTTTTAATCTTTTAAGCCCATAATTAAACACATACTTATGCCTATCAATCCAATTACTTTTACTCTATTATCAACTTGTTTGCTTTGGGTCAGTTATTAGTATGCGTGGTATATCAATATAAAAGTGAGCATGGCAAGATATATAGCCAAAAGATATTCTTACAACCACTGATGACGAGCAAGTATTAGACATAGTTTTTATTCCAGTGTGGGAACACAACAAAAGCTCAGCCTAAGTGTGGATAATTAAGGATAAACTGTAGGCACAGAAATCTGAATAAGAGCAATACTTTGTTTTTCTTTAAAGAAACAACTGTAACAACAAAAAACAAAACAAAGATTCATAATGTCAATAGTTTACTATAAGAATACAAATAACCTGGTAGATTTAATAAAGAATAAGTCTTATTATAATCTACATCATATTATTTTCTGGTGTATAATATAATCTCTTGGTGTAGCATGTACTACCATCTATTCACATTTACTGCGCATTTGTGTTCGTATAAATGTGTCGTATTACATAGAAACTTCGGTAACTTCTTTTATGTAAATTTATTATACTTTCTCACCAGACAATAAAACATTGTTCTTTCTGAATTATACCAATGCACCATTGGACCGGAGGACTCAATTGGGCGTTTACTAATATTCGAGTGAATATTTCTCCTACACTATGGATAATATTATCGGCATTCTTTCTTGGATGCAACGGAGCACCATTCAATAAGGAGGCATACATAACAGACAAAGAGGCAGCGATTGTATCCGTTCTTAAGACCATCTTCATTGCTTACTTAGCGCATGCAAATACGGTTCGCCCCGATCAAAGCACATTGGCTTTGCCTACTATCTACAAGCAGATGTCTGCAATAGCCTGGCCTGTCAGCGGAATTCATGAAGCAGTTGGATCAATAATTAAAGCATGGCGTGCTGATAAGATTATTGGGATTGGCAATTTTAAACTGGAAAGATATGTAGTAGAAAATCCATTGGAAAGATATTACAGCGATGCCAATTTATTGCCCAGAGATGAGAATGGATTCATATTGGGCACTGGACTAAAACAAATCAGATTCAGTATGTCTATTCTACGTACCAACCTTGAGCGCGCACAGCTCAAAAACGAGCTTGAAGACATATCTACTTTCGACAATGCCTTTAAAATAATGGACGAAAATCTGGCCGAGATTGAGCAGTGGAGGAGAACATACAAGGCAACACCAAAGTACCAGCTGATTTGTGGTGGTAATGCGAATGTCAGCCGGTTCTCTAAAGGTAGCGATATTTCTAAGGAATCAAGCAGCTCAGAGAAGCCATTTGCTCGGTACGCTGGGGACATTTCTACTCACGGGAGTTCGACAAACTTTAAGAAATTCATTGTAGATAATGATGAGAAATCATCTGGACATCTTAATATAACAAAGCCTGATGATGGAGATGGGCAATTCCGAGAGTATCTTCGCAAGAAGTCTTCGCAAATGTATAACAGAATCGCCCATGACAACGGAGCCTACCTTGATCAGATCCTTACCGAAATGGGTCCAAAAAATGCGAAGAAAATGAAACACGCCATACTAAATGGAAGTATATATATTGGCTACAATCAAGAAGAAGCCGCACAAAGAGACTTAATCAGACAGCTTACAATAAACATGGAGGTTACTGGTCCTGGGGCACGATGTAAATATCAAATGCCAGTACATCCAGTAATAATACGCTATCTACCTACAGATATGTTAGATCAGCTGAAAATTGCCGGAAACCTGGAAGATACATCCTCCTTGTCAAAGATCACATCTGCAGTACAATTGCTCTACACAGTCTATGAAATTGTCCGAGGTTCAGGGAATGGGTGGTCAAAACTCATCATGGGTGTATTCATGATAATGTCTCTTTTACAGACTGCTTCACTTGTATTCTTACCAACTCAATTGGTGGCCTTTAGTATCCATTGCAAGACTGAAAGAAATATGGGGACCAATAGCTACAATCTTGCAGAGAAGATTACGCATCCTATTACACGCCTCCTAACAAGAATATTACCTAAGTTTCTTCAAAATCTGACAAACGATATTGTTAAGGAACACGACTATGCTCTGATTGGAGCATTAGAGAAGTCAGCCTTGCCACCGATGCTTATTTACAAAATTATGATGGGCCTGTCTGTATCACAAGTCAGTTCTTCAATCCAGCCAGCAGGAAGATGGGAAACACTTGTTATTATCGGAGGTACTGTAGTTCCTCTTCTGTTGGGGTTGCTAGCCGGATACACAGAGCCAAGTCCCGCAAAATGGATTGTACTTGCTTGGATTGTAGGAAGTTGGCCGTTTACTTTTATACGTATATATGTTATTGACCCAAACTATATGGTCAACAAGCTAGCATTTGCACTTACAACGTTATTTTTGGTACTTCCCGGAATAGCTTTGGTTATCAGTGCAACAGTTATTGGAAACCTTCCTAAATAGAAATAGAATAAAATAAAATACACTCTTTCCGGAAATTATTGGTGCAAAAATACAAACAAATTTGGTGCAAAAATAAAAAATTATTTGGTGCAAAAATGGAATGCACCAAATGCACCAAAAAAGATGAATTAAGCAGAGAAATGGTAAAAAATTGCACCAAATTTTATCTTTATTTTTGCACCAAATTTATTTTTATTTTTGCACCAAATTTATTTTTATTTTTGCACGAATAATTTCCGGAAAGAGTGTATACTTTACTTTACATAGTTTTAATTATACTTTTGTATACTTTTTAACATAAAGCTGAAATGGCGGGAGAGTGACGGCTGTGAAAGGACTATTAAGTTTGCAAATTAAAATATAACTTGTATGGATAATATTGTTGAAACCGAATTTAGTCCTTTTCTTTTCTTTTCCTTTTACAGTTTCAAATGTTGAGGTCTATGAATATCATCTGGGTATTATATATATTATTGATATTTTTGATGAGCTACGGTTATATCAAGTAGTATTTATAACTTAGACGTGTGTTTTATTGCGTTCTATTAACTGCAACAGATGTGATCATGATAGTTGCGGAGCACGTTGATATTATTCAGTACATTTGCGCCGTACTCTAAAGAAAAAATTAACCTATTGATGTGTAGAGGTTTTCTTTCTTTCTTTCTTAAGGAAAATGTTGTCCGGACAAACATTCGATGCACTTCGTCTTTGATATATACTTTATATATATATATCCAAAGTGTTCCAGTCTTTTTAGTCCCAATACTGTAGGAAATGAGTGGTGGTTCCGATAGTCATATCGGAATGTTGATGAATCTAGATACCTCTTCATAGGTAGAGACCTTTTCCTTTTTGACCTATAGTTTGGGGCTTTCATAAAAAGAACGGCTATTATATTATGGTCTTTAAATTTCTAATATGCCTTAAAGATTTTGTTTTAGCTTTACCCGAATAATGAGAGAACCGAAAATGATATCAAAATAGTTTGTACACAAATCTGATTACTATACCACATACATTCTATATACACCGAATATTCAGGACTATTAAAGAAGTTTCTAGCTAGGATATGTTTGAAATATAGTATTATTGATTATTCTTATTAATAAAATTTTCCAATGATATTCGAATAAATAAACGAAAAACTTGCTTATGTGTAAAAAACAATGAATTATATAATAAAATAAGTTGATTACAATGAGTTCACTGCTTTGGTTATGTCACACAACTTAGCCCTTTTAGATATAATCATTTTCATATACATCAGCTAAAATATATCACCAAGAAAATCTAACCATTGTGAAGTAAGTCTGAGTGAGTAAGGAAAATGATATATTTTCTACAAAAAAAGAAAAGCTGCTTGGCTTAATAATATTAAGAAATCTTATGTATGTTTTAAGTTAATAATTAAATCCTGAACTCTCAAAGTTGAATTAGACACAGAATACACATCACTGATAATTTCGAAATATCGGCATGCCTTCGGATCTGACCAACTTGTACAACCAAATTACCATTAAAATATATTAGCCCTCTGATACTTATGAGTGGCCCTGGTGATAGTCCTGGGGTAAGGCTTCTATCGTTACACGTATTGTGTGCAAAAAGGACCTTTTTTGTCCGCTTGTCGTTCCCCAAGATTTGAAGCGCAGTGTGAGTGAATGAGTTAAAAAGACAAAGAAAAAAAATGGCAGGATACTAAGACGGGGTAAGAGATTGGCTTTGTTACATCTCATTCTGACCGTCATAAACAGCATGTCTGTCTCAAATGCCTGGCTAGGATCTCTCGCCCAGATAATAGCATCAGATCTACCTATCATCATCTCATTGATCTTTGGCGGCTGCTGCAGTAATGTGTTTGCTCTCGAATTGCTAGTCAAGTAATGTATCATTAGCTTTTGTTATATTTCTTTCTAGTTATTTCCTTCTTTGATGATCAAAATACTAAAAAAAATACCAAGGAATTCCATTACGAACAAACTCGCTCTGATCTTCATTGAACCATAAAAAGAGATGCACCGAAGAGTGGTAAAACATTAAATGTCAAAAGAGAAAACAAACGGAGCACAAGTGTTTCTCATACATTTCTTTAAAGGACACCTCGTCACCTTGACTCAGTTTATATTTGTTGCATTGGAGGGCTTAGTGCATCAAATACGCTGGGATAACCAGGGATTTGGGCTCAAACCAAGAGTTGTTCCTATCAAACGATGGCTCATTCTTGTCTGCCTGTTCTTTACTGTCTCAGTTCTAAATAACCTTGCGCTCGGATACCACATATCTGTGCCTCTTCACATCATCTTCCGTAGTGGTGGTTTGATCGTCAATATGCTGTTGGGTGTCTGGTGGCTAAAGAAAAGGTATTACGCATTTCAAGTCTACAGAAATACTAATAATATTTAAATAGATACACCATAGGCCAGATCGGTGGTGTAGTTATGGTCACCCTGGGTGTTATTTGGGCTACTCTTGATAATACAAGCCCAAAGGATGTAAGTGTTAAACAAAGACAACAGGAATCCAAGCTAAGGTCCAAGTTCTACCTTTTAGGGAAATGTAACGGATCCATCAGAGTTTTATACTGGGATTGCAATTCTTGTGGTCGCTATGATCCTATCAGCAGGAATGGGGTTATACCAAGAAGTAACTTATAAAACGTACGGGAAGCAATGGAGAGAAGGTTTATTTTACACTGTGAGTACATCAAACACTTTATTTAATATGGTACTAACCTACTACTACATAGCACTTTCTCGCCCTTCCCTTTTTTGCCCTTTTCTACAAGGATATTGCAAACCAAGTGGAGATCTATAACGCCTCTCCTATAGAAAACATCCCTAGCCTTCTCCAATCGATTCCCATAATTGACTCCATAATTTCAAATCCTTCGTTATCGCTATTACGGACATTTTTGAATAGTCTTGAGATTCCTCGTCTATGGCTTTACCTCAGTTTCAATGTGTTTACACAGTAAGTTTTCAATTATATAATAAAAAAGGGGGCTTTTCTGTTTTTTTTTTAAAAAAAAAACCCTAACATCATCACTAGATATGTGTGTATCTCAGGTGTAAACCGTATGACATCGATGTCTACTTCCCTGACGTTGAACTTGGTCCTCAATCTTCGAAAGTTTACATCTCTTCTCATCTCTATTTTATACTTCGATAACGAATTTGGTCTTGGAGCAAAATTAGGTACTTTCCTTGTCTTTTTGGGTACACTCGTGTACGCAAGAGCTGGATCAGTTCCCAAACCTATAGAGACATCATCGGCTGAGAAAGAAAGCTCAGCCAGTAGAAAATAATACCTAAATGCATATTCGCCGTCATACAACAATACATCAATAAATTAATCCTGATTTTGTTCTTGAACAACCAAAATCAATTAGATCCAACAGTAGCTAATCCACTATAATGTCCTTTCAAATATTAGAGTTAATTATTTGCAAATCAGCTTTATTTATTTATTTAAAAAAAAAAAAAGAAAATATGGTGAGGCAGTTGGTGGCCGCCTCGCCTTGGAAAGCAAAATCTAACAAGAAAATGTGAATAAATTGAAGACAAGGGAAGAGAGATGAAGAGGCAGTGAAGCACATTATTAAAAAAAAATTTAACAAAGAACAATAAAGTATTCCTTTTTATCTCACCAAAAAAACTTTCATATTTTTATATTTTGACAACTGATTCCAATCTCCCGTACACCTAATTAATTAAATTTTATTATTTAACTCATCCTAGCTATTATAGTGCATGTTTATTTATTGTCTTTCAAACACGTCCTCTTGAAGTAGTTTATTGTCCCTGGTTATCACGCTTCAATTAAAAATAGAGCACCTATTCTAGTTAGTAGTCCACACATGGATACTACAAAGGCGGGACTTTCTTCATTACAGTAGTATCTTAACTAACTGTATTGCCTCCTGCAAGTACCCTACGTGTAATGATATTCAATCTTTGAAACAAACCACTGCTATATGGTCTCAATTCAATATTTTAAACACCGAAATCAATGTCTTGGTTTGTCACGTTTCCAAAGTAGCGCGTAGATTCCCAACATTATTGCTCCAATGATAGAGAAATGTAAGGAAATCAAAAGCTCATTAAGCTCATTATAAAATGCATACTTTTAAATTAAAGTCTTTTTTAAATTTAAACAACTGATTTCGAAACATTGTAGTCAATCAAGAGCGTCTAGATCAAGTCTTTTCCGTATTAAGAAAGACCAATGAAAAGAAGGTTGGTAGAATTACACATGAATAATAGCAGAGTTTGATAGTACTATAGTATTATCGACTGTTTTTTTGCAGTAATCAATTCTAAATATTAAATTGTCTTTTTTATATACTCTTTTTACTCAAAGATTTCGTTTGATTTAACACCATCTGTTGAAGATATCAAACTCGAACTCGAACAAAAATTTTTAACACCCCAAAAGAAATTTCCAGACGCTTGGTTATCAAAATGTCAAAAGTAAGAATAATCAAGCTATACTCTAAGCCCTAACTCACACATATTAGACATTGGTCGGAGACTCCTGATTACGAGTCTCTTGTTCAGGCACAGTTGTCCAAGCCGCGCACTACACTCCATGGTGCCCGCCAAGACTATGATGGTGATATTAAAGGATATCAAGAAACACTGATTGAGGACCCAAATTCACTTTCGACCAATTCCACAAGTCTCGCACGTCCATTTGGCTCTTCCAAGAATTTTGTCCGAGGAAAAGCAACTCAATTTCCTTTTGCCCCTGGAGGTTTGGATTCGGAGGTATTGGTAGAGTCAGAGGATAGAGATGATATTGTGGACTTTGACGTAAATCTCGATTTCTTGGATGAAGGTAAATTTATATGGACACCAAAGCTTATACTAAATGTGGATTGTGTAAGGTTGGTCTGCTAATTTATTTTATTTTATTTTTGGCTTTATTTCATTAAATGTTGACTGGACTAACAAACAGAAATGGAATCAATTGCACCTGGTCTTGACCGAGGACTTGTA